TATAATGTCATAAACTTCCATAACCAAAGCCTGATTTGTATTTTTGCAGTTGTGTCACACCCCCAAATAAACAGTTAATTTGTTTGCATTCTGCCTTGGTTTCTCCCCATGTCTCATACAGAAGTGCTGTTTTTGTATACTATGTCCCATCCCTCACCCCATACGGCTGCCCAAAGAAACTGTTCTTTTTTTTTCCTTTCCTCCATCGCCACCCCCCTCAAGATCTCAGATGCAAGGCTGCAGAGACTGGGAGACAAATTCTGCTCAGTTTTAAATCTGGGAATCATTCCCCTGGCTCCACATTCATAGTGGTGCAGAGAAGAAGAGAATGTAGCTTTCTGTACTGTTGTCAGCAGGGGAAAAATAGAGTCCCTATAAGACTGTATCCATGGAAACCATCCTACTGCAATAGCAAGTAAAGCAGCAAATCAATCTCTTCAATTTTAAAATGAAACCCATTTAGCAGCATTACAGTGCATCTGCCATGTAAGAAATCATCTGTGCTGATAACTCTGTTGAAAAACCTTTCTCTAGCAAATAAGCTGGCAAGAACCTTCCTTCATTCTGATAGAATTCTGATTTGGGGTAGAATAAGCATTGATGACAAGGTCCCATGAAGACAGTACGATGAGACAGAGCCAAGTCCAGCAGCAAGAGTGTTCAATGAAGGAGAAAATTGTTTAATTTAGCATTTAGCCCAAGTATCTGGGCACATGGTGACTAACACTTGAATGTTTTAGCAGAGGCAATGACCTGTCACCTCTGTCTCCATGCTCCTTGGTTATGTGGTACCGTATGTGACAAACAGGACATTTGTACATTACAACGCTTTCCTCAGAATGGGAGTGTGTGCGTATGTGCTGGCACATGTGTGTGTGTGTGGCTGGTGGACTGTCAGATGAGATTTCAGTATCTGGTTCAGTGCAGGACAATCTGGGCAAGTCACATTATAAAGGTGTATGTTTCAGAGCCAGGGGCATTTCCAAGGCATCACATGTGCTGTCTGTCTGTGCATTTTATTGTTTTTACATTTTATTATGTGAGACTTGGGAGAGGACCTCCTTGCTATGCCATGGAGAAAGCATAGGAACATATGGATTTATTACTCCAGGCTTTGAATGTGTTACCCTGTTACCTCTGATGTGTGCATTTCAGAGGGATTCTGCCTGTATTTTTTCACCTATTGAGGCATCTCTGTGACCATTTTGCGAAGTAATACTGTAGTTTATCAAACATTTGCCTATATACATATGAAGCACATTCTGCATTGCCTTTTTGTCTAACTTAAGTCTTGCATTCTCTTCCTTTCCTATGTCTGGCTGATAGAGAAATACCTGCCTGGAAGAAATGCAGCTTTATTTTAGACAAAGGGGATAAAATTGAACAAGGAGACAATTAAAAAACATTACAGAAATTGCTTAGACTGCATGTAGCCCTGCTGTTGGTAAAGATCAGATACACAATCCTGTGTCACTTCACAGTGTCTGGGCTGTGTTTTATCAGCCTCTGAATCTCAGTTCCTTGATAACAGCAATCACATATGCCATGATGTCTTCTTTCATCTACAGCTGCCCTATATATTATGACAGCCCCTCTTTGATAGACAGTTATCTATTCTTTTCTGACCTGAGGGCAAGCTTATTCCAATGCGCTCCTTTTAGTGCTATCACTAAAACACAGCCAAAAGCATCAACTGGTGCATAATGTGGCTGCTCAGCATTCGAACGAAATGAGCACGTATTGGTGGGAGCACGTGTGGTTTTTGTCACTCCACCACCTTTACCAGTCAATGGAAGATGCAGTTCAAACCGCCTTAAGTGGTAGAAATAGCTCAGTGGTCTGAAATGCTGCTGTCTGCAGAGAGGGCTTTGGTCTGCCTGTGTCAGGTGCTGTGACACGCAGTGTTGTCTGCCTGTTCTGCCCAATCCAGGGATTTTCACAGCCAGGAGAAGAGATCCCAACACACTGCTTTAGGACAGGGGTCCCTTGTTGAGACTGAAGAGTTTGCTGATTGAAGACAACTAGCTGGGAATTTCCGATGTCTACATAACCCTTCTGTACCCCCATACAAGGGTGCTGTTTACTATCAGGGTTCAAATTCCTGTTGAGTTCAAATATGAGACATTTGCAAATTTTTGTCGAAAACACCAGGGAAGAGAGAAACAGAAGAGGAACTGGGACTGCCACTTCTTGCACTATTCATCACTGAAGCTGTGCATCTATGTTTAGCATCTATGTTTAGAAACCCAGGAGGCCAGGTGTGGCTGAGGGAAACACCGCACACTACTTGCAGCAGAGGGGATGGGTTCATTTGTTCCTGTATGCATGGGGACATGTGGAGAGGGTGGCAATGGATGGAGACTTAAATGGCTTTTTCCATCATCTTTTCCTCAGCCTGTGATAAATGATAAGAAAGTTGACTTCCTTCCCCACCATAAGAGTCCATGGGAGAAGCAGGGGCTGCACTGGAGCTGCTCATGCAACATTTGTTTTAAGGGACAAAGCAGGGAGCTGGGTCTGGCTCTGTCACTTCTCACAGCTCCCAAGTCTGCCATTTTAAAGCAGTGAACCTTAGAGTATTCTTTGTGTATAAGCTCCTGGGGTTTACACAGGCATGTCTGAAGTAGGAGTGTTTCTTGATGATGTCTGTCTCCATGGATTCAGAGTTGGTACCATGTTTGTATCTTGCCTCATACACCACCACCCCCATGGTTAAGGTAAAGCTCCTGAGCCATATTCCAAAAAAAATAAGATTTCCAGCAAACCTTTAAGCCATCTGTTAATGTGGGCAGGCAAGAAGACATTGGGTAGGAAAACTCAGTCATATGGCAATGTTTATATGTGTCACCATAGCCATTTCTTCTAATAATGTTAAATGCCATTTTAATTATTATGTAAATTCATTTTCTGTAAGGAATTTGTAAGCCACAGCAAGCCTGTAGTGAAATGATTCCTCTAGATGAGACTTTTTCTCAAAGTCGCTCAAATCCCATCTATATTTCAAAATGCCATTCATTTTACTGTTAGAAAACCTCTATCAAAAATTGGCAGGCCCCTTTTGGAAAAAAAAAAAAACTAAGTTATCACTCTGGGACACAGGTAACAGGGCACGAGCTGTGTCACATTTCTGACACCACAAGCATGAGTGCTGACAGGCGGTGACAGCCAGCAGCTGCCATTTGATACAAGGCATTAGAAAGTGCCCCGAGTGCAGTGATGTCTACTCCCATACGGTGTCTTGTGCAGAGCAAGGACACAGCCAGTTGCCACGTCACAGCAGCTATGTTGACAGTCACAGCAGCTATGGCTCCATTCTCCATTTCTACCAGTAAGCAAGTGAATTCTCAAAATTAGAATCTCTCTGTGAATTCCTAGCCTGCAAATGCAGGGATATTCTTAGCAGTACCTGTGGATTAATATTCACAATGAACTGAAAATATTGGGCCAATACGTACACTGATCTGCTGTTCTAACCCAAAAAGTTGCGCTGAGCACTGGTATCTTGCATATATGATCTGTGACCACAAACTGCTGAACAGGTTATAAATGGATAATATATTAGTAAAAGGGTATTGAAGACTGACAGTCTCTGGCTCTTAACTTCACAGACGCCCCTGAAAAACACCTCTCCCATGCATTGGAAGACTTGCTAGTGGCGAAGGGCACTTTCATGAAGATGTGGATAGCAAAGTGGGTGGCTGAACCTCCCAGGACTTGAAATTGTAAGGATGCTTTGTGCTCACACAGAGAGAAACACTGTTCTTTTTATTTTGTGCTTCTTGGGAAGCCTTTAGAGATCACCAGGAAGCAGTCACAGTGCTGTGAGCAACAAGAGCCAGGGAAGTGCTGTGCTCTCTGGGCCCCTCTATTCAATAATGAGCTGTTCCTTAATTCTCTGTCCTGTCCCTTACTACGGCCTCTTCTCCACCTTCCACCACCTCCAAAGGCTTCCTTCTTAGGACAGATTCCTCTCAGCAGCTGGAGGTCAGAGGATTTCTCAGCTGGAGTAGAGTTAGAGCACTATAAATAGAGTCTGCTCTGGCCTAAAGCCTCGTGTGATGGACGAATCCGAACGAGCACAGAGGCTGTGTGCTTGATCTGCCTGCTGTACCACAGAGGTGTTTCTTACCCCATGTCAGAGACCAGTTGCTGGATGTCCCTCTGCTCTATAAGTGTGGTGCAAGGACTTTCAAAAGCTAGAGGTGCAGCGCAGACCCTGTTATCCCTCTCCTGCACAGCCTGTCAAGTCGTGCTTGCTAACTGTGAGGTTGTCTTAGCTCCAGCTTCCACACTGCCCCAGTGCCACGTGGCCTGAGACCAGCTGCACGTGCTGGGGAGAGCCTTCCAGCCCGAAACCCTGCTGGGAAGGAAGAGCATCCTTTTGGTACACTCAGCAGCAGCAGAGAACTGTTGTGGGCTTCCCCTTGTGCCTGAGGGTGCACTGTATGCACACATCTGCAGGACAGGGTATGTCTGACTGCCTGTGACAACACTGTCAGTGCCTGGCTTCTCAAGTGACCCCTCTGTGCAGCAGCTCACGCATAAGGACTCCAGCAGAGAGCTGTCTGATGTCCAGTTGTCACCAAGGAGGGGAAGCAGGGAATAATTTTGAAGCTGTCATTATGCAGCAAGAGCATGTCATGACGTGGTGAGAATCAGGCTGAATGCTTTCTGCAGTCTGTGGCCTGGCAGCCACATCCCCAGTTTTGTTCCAAACATGGCAGATCCTGGAGAAGGAAAAGGAGAAAGTTTCCCTGCTTCAACTTGTGTAGAAACTGCTGCACTGAGGAGGAAGATTGGGCTTCAGCTATGACATTCATAAGATTCAGTGAATGTGATACCTTCTGTACCTGGCCTCTGGTATGGAGAACTGTGTAATTGAAATTCTGATCACTCTTACCAACCACACTAACGTGACATTTATTTTTTCACATTTATTGTGTATTATATGTTTGTCATTCACATTTCACATTTATTTTAGACTTCCCATAAGCACTCACCTTCTCTGCACAGGAGTGTTATTGCTGGTTCCTCCCCACCACTGCTGTGTCCGGGGCTGCTGCCTCTGGGTGAGGGGACAGAGCTGTCACCCCCGCTAGGCATCTGCAAGGGGACTCTGCATAATGCCAGGGCCCTGGGCTGCCCTGCTCGGCCTCCTTGTGCTGCAGTGACTCAGCTGGAGGGATGGCAGTGCCATAGGGAGCTGATGAAACAGCAGCAGGTATGTCTAAGCAGACAGAGTTAAAGAGAGGTAAAAATGTTGGCCTGCTGAGCATTGTAGCGGGAGCAGAATCGCTTCCAAATGTGAAGTCTTGTAAATAGGAGAACGCTTGATTATTTAGCTGGGCATATTCAAAACTGATCTTGTCTCTAGCAACTTCATCTAGGATTTTTGCTCTACCTTTCTGGTCCTCGGAGCAAATTTGCTCCCCATTTTGTTTCAAATGATATAGACTGCTGGCTTGGAAACTTGTTTCATAATTGTATTGGTTTGTGCAAGCAATACTGGGGTATTCTGGCTTTTGAGCAACACAATTGCATTCATTTTGCAACAGTAGCTTGTTTTTGTACTGAGACATCTTACAAATGATATTGTTCATTTCATTCCCAATGTATTTGTCTTCCAGGTGCTTGTTTTCATAGCCAAGTTTTAGTGATGCCACTTGCGTTACGCATCGCTCTAAGAGCTGCACGATGTTAGTGCTGCTCTCCTTTGGTGTGGGGCTGATGTAGCTCTCGAAGCCTCTGAGAGTAAGAGGCTGTGGTGGTTTGTCAGAGCAAACAGACAGAGAGTGATACATTGGTTTATTTCTGTCCTCCCTCTCAAGGGCATCCAGAGGTGAGGTCGCAGCAGTCTTATAGGAGTAACATGATTCTACTTCATGATTATCATTTAACAAAAGGCTTTCAGAGCTCTGTGAGCCACTCTGTCTGTTCAAGCTCTCTGCCAGCGGAATTCTATCTTCAGATGTCTCGTATCCTTCTGAACTTGTCTGCAGATTGTCTCCATTTGCCTGTGATTGTGGTGCATAATTTGATGCACCACGGGTTTCCGCAGTCCCAGGCACTGTAGATGAATGCTCATGGTGATTACCTTCCCTTCCTCGGAAATCCAAATCAGATGTATTAGTGCAAGAGTCTCTTTCAGCAACATTTACTGAAGAGGCCTGGGTTGCATCTTTGCTTTTGTCCACAGACACCCTTCGGTTAAATGAATCTTCCTTGCTTTGTTTCTCCTGCTGTGCTGTGCTCACGTTGTGCTCGGGACCAGGGCTGGGAGGGATTGGTGAATGATTACCCTTTTCTGGCTGTGGCTGAGGGCTCTGAAGAGAGTCTGGGGAGGAAACAAGCCCCGAGTGTTTTCGCAGCCAGTTTATAATCCCCATGGTTAGCGAAAGCTCAGTGTCACAGAGCTTTAGCAAACATTCTTTGCCTTTCCATGTGCTGTGGAAAAATCCCTGGCTGATGATGTCTACAGCTGGTTGGGAAGCCGTGTTTTCCTCGGCTCCAACATGAAAGCTGTAGATGGACAAAGGGATTTCAATGGCTTGTTCTGAAATGCTTTCAGATGTGCACAAGTCATCATCTAGGACTGGGTTTATTTTGACTTCATTTGTGTCATAGAAGAGCTCATAAAGGGCATCTCCACTGTAGCTGTCTCTTGGAAATCTGCCTGGGACCCCAGGGGTCTGAGCTTCCTTTACTTCATCATCTTGTCCAGGAGAGAACGAATCGTAGTAGCCTTCGTCACTCGTGGATATGGATTCCTGGTTGTCACTTTTTGGTGTTTCTGTTTCTGTGGAGCTCTCTTTGGAATTGTCACCATCTTTATCAGGTGACATCTGGGGGTCTGTCGCAGATGCAGCAGCTTGGCTTCCAGCCTTGCCCATGTCAGAACCAGGCATTGTCAGTAACTTCTTATCAAACAGCGTGCTCTGATGTAGCCTCACAGATTTGTTAATGTTGTCCCAAAACTTCCCAAATTCAACGGTCTCATTCTGGCCTGGAGAGGCCAGCTGCTCCACACCCCCTTGGAAGGAGCCCATGATGGGGCTCTCTTTGTGCTTGCTTCGTCTCAGCAGAACTTCTTTGCTGTTCTCCAGCTCCAGGTGGGCAGAGCTCTCGTCAGCAAAGATTTCCCCACAGCCGGTGAGGGAGTCAAAGCTCTTCAGCGATGCAACATCTTCACACAGAGGGTTGCAGCAGTCATAGGAAGAGTCAGACTGCAGTTCACTGTCTGAGCAGTCTTGTGACAAGCAGTCGGCTGCAAATGGTTCTCCAGTTTTGAAAAGGTACTTTGCGAGACGCCCAGGCAACTCACTCTTGCAGCCTGGAGAGGACAGGTTTTTGTCCTTCTCAACCAGGAATGCAAGGCTCTCCGGTTTATTTTTTTTAATATGAAATATATCTCTGAGCCCTTTCTTTGATCTCTTGAGCGATATCCTCTTCCTGGGGATGGTTTTTGCAACAGCTGGTACAAAAGGCATCTGTGGCACAAAGTTCCTGTAATCAATCATCTGACTGCTGCAGGCAGACTGGCTGGGGCTTACTACACACTCTTTCTTACTGCTGGAACTGGACATCCCCGAAAAGCTGATGCTGTTGACAAGTCGCCCCTTCCCCTTTCCAGAAAAACCTTCCTCGCAAGCCCTGTTGCTGGGGCTGCACTGCTCTGTTTTATCTGCTTCACTAACGCAGTCATGGGTTTTACTCTTCCTTACAAGTTTGTAGGAGGACCCAGATGATTTGTCCAGGCTGTTGTCACCAGCACCATTCCTTGCTGCTCTGGTGGAAAATCTGTAGTTCTTGTGTGCGGCCAGGTATGCCAGCTGGACTTCAGCTACACTTTGGTTTCCCTCCAGGGCTGCCTTTTTGTCTTTCCCTATATCATTTTTGATTGTAGAAGCTGTGTGCTCTGGTGGCACTTTCTCATGTTGCACACTGGATTTGATGAAGGTTTTTCCTCTCTTGAGCTCCATGCTGTTTCCTCACATCTGTTTCTGTAAAGGAATCAGCAGAACAAGAGTACTGTTAGGTTGATGGCTGGCACTGAGCAGTCAGCTAAAAGTCTCTGAAGAGACCAGCTGGAACAGGTGCTCATCTGTAACTGGGGAATAGAGGAGCAGATATTAAGCATGACAGCATTATATAATTGTTCTTGTTTGCCACCTGAAATTCCCATCACTGGTATTGCGTGAAAAACAGAGCAAGTGAAAGTTGAGTTTGTAGAGGCAGGAAGATCCCGCAGGGAGAAGACAGAACATGTTGTGTATTGGGAGGTGAGGCCCCAAGAACATTTTGTTCATTAGAAAGAAGGGGTATTTGGATTTAGGATTAAGAACAGTGGGCATTGGCAAGGTGAATCTGCACTGCGCGTTGCTTAGCTCTTTCTAAACTTACTGTTACTTGTATCAACGTCAAGTTTGGTCTCTACCTATATGGTGTAATATTAAACCTGTTTCATGTTTTCATACATCTAATTATCAATTTTGCTAGCTGTGACCTTTCCATTTTGCAGCAGTTATTTCATAGAGACAGCTGATTCTTTTCTGCCTTAAGTCATTTTGAATTGTGAGTAAGACAATAACAACAAATACTTCCTGAAAGATTTTAGAGAAACCGTTTTTTACTGGATGGGAAGCAGAACAAAAATTCTAAGTCCTGTTCTTCAAAGAACTTTCCTTAATGAAACCTCAATCAAAGATTCATTTTGTTTTAAATTGTTTAGACGTAACTAAAACTGCCTGGAGCCTTGAACCCTGAAATGAGCACAAACAATACAGTGCTATACCTATCAGTCCTGGACAAACCACATATATCAGCTCTGATGAAATGAAAATTGCTAATACTCATGAAAGAAAAATCTCATATAAGATTCTTGGACCCAGTTTGAAGTAAACAAGGGAATTTTTAAATTCAGCACCAAGACAAGCTTTTGCATACTCCTAAAGTAAAAGTTAAAGCTGTCTTTAGGCTTCCTTGATCTTCAGCAGCTGTGTGTAGCCTCCAGAGGCTTACCAGTTGCCAGGGTTTGCTGGGAGCAGTAATACTGTGACCAACACCTCACAGGATACAGGTCTGTGTATCTGCCAGCTCTGTCCCCCCCAGCACTTCTCCAACAGGCCGATGAGTGACAGCCGGCTTCTCATCCAAACTGCAAACTGGCAGGCAATCAGCGATATTTACAACTAAATGTAGGTCACTGACAACAGGTAGGAAACATAAGGGTAGGGTGGGAATATTCTACATCAACAGAGCATGAATGCTATGGAAAATGTGGTGGGTGGTGTAATGGGGGGTCTGTCAGTATGACTGGGATGTTGGCATATTTACTTGCATTTGGGCTGCATGTGAGGATTGCAGAGCGTTCTTAATGAAAGCCAGTAAACATTTTACTACGCTGTCAGTTAGCTGGAGTTCACTGGTGCTGCAGAAAACCTGGTTTGCATATTCAGAAATAGGTCACTGGGACACGATTACACTCCTTGTCTGAAAAGCAAGGTGCAATTGAGAAGAAATTCAGAGCACAGAACTCCAACAGAGTTGTGAAAATAACCAGAAACAGCCGACACAAGGCCAATTAATAATAACCCAGAAATAAAGTGTCTGACATTTCAGTTCCTTGCAACGGTAGAAGCAGGTGCTGTGTTCCTGTGGGGAGTCCTGCTGCTGAGAGTTTCCTTAGAGGCCTGTGACTTGTCAAATGCCAGCATTATAGCAATGTTATGCTTAGAAGGGCTCTTTAAGTGTGCTACAGCTGTTTCTACCCATTCTGAGTATTAAGCAAGGGTAATTTTTGTAGGAAATTGCATATTTGTGAGTAAATACTTTGTTGCTGTCTTAAAAGGCTTTTTAGAGGTGGCTTTGTTTTATTGTCAAGTACGACAGTTGTTAAAGCAAAGAATTCAGTGTGTTGGTCAATAATCTTTTGAGAAAAGAAAACTTTGATCTGGATTGTATCTCCTTGATAAGAGAAACAATGGACTACTGGTTTGGTAGCTGGGTGTAGAAACTTCAACTCTTGTTTTTCTTTCCTTTTTTATAGCTTAGGTGGACAACTGTAACATGAAATCCCAAATGTCCTGAATAACATCTGCACTGAGAATACATATAGCATGCCTGCGCTGCCAGGGATTTTGACAGGGCCATCCTTCACTATCACGTGGCATCAGTTTTTAGTGAGAAAGTCATAAGGCAGAAAGGCAAACATTTCTGAGAGATCTTTGGGTTTAATTTTCAGTTTCCTCTGATGAGAAAAAAATATATATTTTAAATGATCTGCTATGCATTTAATCATCATCTTTGCACTATGATTGTTTAATGTCTCTATTTAATTCCATGTATTCTTTTTCTCATTTCCCCCGGGATTCATGCCAGATTAGTATTTAGTTCATTGTGTCATCCTGCTTACCCTATTTGAACACCGGTACGTCTTTGGGAATCTTCCCCGTTAAAATGTTAAAAATGAGCTTCAAAAAAGGAGTGCAAACTACCAGAACCTGCAGATTTTTCTGAGTATTCACCCCAGGTGTTGTTTTGCAACTTCCACTACTATGAGTTTCTCTGCAGCCTCATGACATAAATTATTGATTTGCTTCTTTTCAAATATAGAACAAAAATATTTATGCATTGCCACTCTATTCCCATACTTATTAATGCTTTTAGCACTTTTGACTGTAATGGGCTATACCACAATACATATTTTTTTTCTTTCTATAGGGATGCAAATTCTAACCCCAGAAGTTGTACCAGTGAAGTTAGAATCAGTGTAAAAAAAAGTTACCCTCCAGTGGTTACGTAAAGCTCATCAAAATACTATGAAAAATTACTCATTTAAAGGTGGTACACCTCTGGGACTTCTTGACATGTGCACTCAGCCACACTACTGCCTATGTTCCTTTTTAATTATTCTCCTCTTGGACATAGCTTGCATTATCTCTCTTCTTCCACAGGGATCAAGAGTATATGAGGGATTGATTTCCACCTTTGCAATAGAAATATATTTTGCAATTAAAAATCGCTACAAAGAACAGAAACCTGTGGAAACCAGTGGTCAGTTTACTAAGGCTGGTTTGTTCAGTTTTCAACACACTCTGGATGTTTTCTTCCTTAGTGGTTCTTGGTCTCTTTTCCATGGAATTACATGCATGTAATTACTTATGGAACACATTTGGACAGAAGGCATCCTTGAATCTTCTATTGGGCTGCAGATCAATTGCCATTTGCAGAGCTGTTAGGTACAGCAGCGCTGAGGCTTCCAATCTACCATAACCTGTACTTCTGTCTGTCTTGGTCATACTAGCTGCTCACCTTTAGGATTTTACAAGTTTTTAAGCATGCAATTAGATCCGAATGTTGGGCTTATATGGAAATATGGATTTTCTTTAAATTTGGATAATGTTGATCATAGAATGCAGATACTTTGTGCTCAAATGTATACCATCTGTGCAGGGTGTCTGACAGCCTTCTCATAAACACAGAAGGGTTTTACTGTGTCTGTGATGCACCTAAAAGTGAATTGAAGTTTTAGAATGAGGAGGTAAACACGTGTGTGGGCTGAGGAGACTTGTTTTTAGGGCAGTCAAAGCAATTGCAAATAGTCCTGGGTTAAAGGACTAGACTGAATTAGGTAAGTGTTCTGGTTAATATGACCCATCTTCAGATGGCCTAAATTCAACCTCAGTGCAGGTCAACAGACGAGGAGACTAGAGAGGAGCATGGGATGCCTGGCCTGCAGATTCATTAGGAAGTAGGAGGAAGATGAGTGGGGGCAGGATTCAAACTGTCTGAATATTACTTCCAGCATGGAGAGTGGAGAAGAGATGGGCCACATTTGCCTCTGTCCATGGAACTCAAAGCCTTCAGCCAGGCTGAGACATGGGAATTTCCTGGGATCTCCCCCCTCTGGAGGAATGGGGGAAGACTGATTTTGACTTTTGGGCTGGTGTCCAAGTTATTATCTTATACTTTAACAGCTTATCTGTCAATGGACAGGTTAGGTTAAGTTGTCTTCTCAGAAATGGTAAAACAGATTGTGCTTTAATGTGTCAGTACCTAAAATACCAGCCCTCTTGGACATAATTCGAGGAAGACCAGCCTAATGGGAAACTAGGAATATTTGCTTCATTGAGTGCACAGATAGAAATAATAGGAATATGAAGAGGAAATTTAGATGAATTCTCTGGCTTCAGCAAGTATGGCTCAAAATTACTTTTGCTTTAAGCAGGGAAAAGTATAATTGAGGTTCATTTATTCTAAAATCTTTTCAGCTGTCTGCCTTGGACACTCTCACTTGCTTGTTTGATGTGTAATTTATATATAATTGTCTCTCTTGGAGACTAGAAATTAGCAAAATTCAGAATACAGATGATGTTTTTCAGAGTAGATAGGAGTGCCCTTTCCACTTTTTTACAAGCAGTTAATTCATAAAAACTGGCAAGCTGTGGAGGTGGTGCCTCACGGCCTTGCTGAGCAGAATTCTACTTTCCATTTCGGGTCTAATTTCACCCCCCTTCAAGCATTTTCCTTTATTAAATAGAAGATTTGATAATCCTTGCATACTCCTCTAGTTTGTTGTTGTTGCTGTGTTTGTTTGTTTGTTTGTTTGTTTTTAATTTTTTAATTTAAAAATGTGAGGAAAAGTGTATTTGCACTGCTTTTGTGTTTTATATGTGATAAAAGTTTGGAGTGAGTCCAAAATCCCTTTTTCACAAGTGGCTTCATATCAATGAGACTGAAGATCCTGAGTATCAGTTACCTCTGAAAATGTTACTCCTGCTTTTCAAATGAAAATGGTAGTATAATTAAATCTCCTGGCAACATTTATCTGCTTTAGGCATTTGGACATGTATTATGCTTGAAATGGGTGCACTTAAAAATGAAATTTATTTTAGAATATCTCTTGACATATTGTGCAAAGGGAGAGGGAAAAGAGCTGAGCGCTCTGGCAGGCTCTCACTTCCTATGGCTAGTTAACCTCGAGAGGATTTTTGCTGGGCACCAGTTGGAAGTCCTAAAATGCATCAACAAATAAGCCTGGGGAGCTGAAAACCACAGCCACCTTTACAGTCAGTCCGTGGCTGATACTCATTTTTAATGCTTAGGATCCAATCAATTAGCAATGCATGAAGAGCTTGTGCTCCCAGTAAAGCGGGGCTTATTTTTGGAAAAAGATCATTTATTTACTGTTGAAAAACCTTAGCTCTAGCTCCAAAGATTAACGTTAATAATGGAAATACATACTAAAAATAATGAGCATACATTCCATTCTGTTAATTGCATTTTTAATTATAAATCAATACAATGCTTGCTGATGGGTGGTGATATCCTGTCTGCAGTCATTGTACACTGTTTCCAGTGAGCAAATAAGCATAACAGTTCCTATGGTGAAAACCAAAGAGGATTTTAAAGCAGTGTTCATCTTCTCACTTGAACTGATTACTCTTGGTAGTATCTCATCTCCATCAGATAACAGAGCAGAACAGGGTGGAACCAGGGTGGGAGGGATGGAGGATGTAATCAGGAGAGGCTTGATTCACAATGCAGAAGAATGTTTGTTTTGAAAGAAACCTGTGTGACACACAAACCTGCACTGAGATCACGCTTCTTGTTAGGAGTACTCCTTGTTTCTGGCTGTATCTTATCCTTCCTCTTAATCATTTTTCTCTCTAGGGTACCCAGGATGCCTAATTATTTGCATATACATTTAGGTCAGGCAGTGGCTTTCTCACAAGAACCAGGAAAAAGCACATTGTGTTGTTTTTTTTTTCTTAAATCTTAATTCCACTGAGCCCACAAAGTAAAATCTTATACTCCCCAGCAGAATACCAGAAGGATGTGTAGTTAAACGTTTAATCTTATTAGCTATGTACTGTAGGGAAGTCTGAACCTTCTTTTAAGCCCTGCCAACTGTTCTGTAAAGCTCAGGCTTTAGCATAGTAAAATTAACCACATTTCTACTCCCAACATAGTATCCTGCTATACGCTGACAGGAGGGATCCCTGGGGTACTACAGCACCCACTGGCTCCCCAGCCCCGTGTGAGGCATGAAGAATGAGGGTGAGACCATGACAAAAGGAGGCTCCTTCTCTGACAAAACCTCAGCACCTCTCCTTCAGTTTTCTTCTGCACCTGAGGCTGAAAGAAATGTAACTGCTCAAAACATTCTTAAACACACCATATAAAAGGCACCATAAACTCCTGCACAGGGAGCTATTGAATCATCAGTCTATTGCTAGGAGAAGGCAGCTGAGCAGAAATTTCTGCTGTGTACCTGAAAGAGAATCAGAGCATCTTTACTTGTCCTGGCCAGCAGCCTGTTGTACCAGACAGCAAAGTGTTAACCCTGTCAGCTTTGGCCATTTTCAGTAATTTATTGCTTAAAAAGGAGGTGTACGTTTATATAAACACAGGCATACACTTGTCAGATGTATGGAAAAATAATTAAAAAGTGATGCTTCAAAATCAAGCAGTCATCCCCAAATAACAGTCCCTTGGAGTCTCTGTCAGAGCAAAGTGCCATTGCACCAGAGCAAACAACAAGGCAGATCACAAAAATCCTACTCACCATGTTTTATCACTGAGCAGAAATCCTCTCCCTCCTAGCTTTGCTGCTGAAGCAGGTCTTTATCCAAAGGCTCCGGTGATGCTTTTCAGATTCAGAGGGGCTGGATCACTGCTGCTCTCCAGTGTTACTCTCCACCCCCCGTCTTTTCCTCCTCCTTCTTCCTTCATCCCCACCCCCTCATTCCTCCTGCTTGCAGCTTTTTCATACCTTACATAGATTCTAGGCTTCCACATGTAGCTTGATTTAGGAAAGACGCTTATTTCAGCCATCTGCTTGGTGTCACAGAAATGCTTCCCTTGTTAAGGAATAAAAACCCAGAAGATAAGCCTGGGAGTTCTGAGCCAGCGTTTTGGTTCCTCTCTATATGACAGCTTATTAAATGGGGAGGAATACATCCGAATCAATTTCGTTTCTCACAAAGATTTTTCTTTCTGATAGAATTCAAGAAAAGCAGTCACAATGTGTTTCTAGGTGACTGAGATGCAGATTATTGGATTGTGCCACACTTTGAAGAAGTGGTTAGTAAGACTTTTTTTAATGCTGAAGTCAAAGGGGATTTTATGTGGGAGCAAAGTGGCATAAGGGGAGAGAATAAGTATCTCAGCTGCCCACAGCTAGAATGCCTGGTGTTAGCCTCATAGTGCCTTTGCTGACCATCATTTATCAAGTTCTCCTTACAGTCTAACTTCTGCTTGAGTGTGCAGTGATGTGATGACAATAAATTCACCTCCGTAACAAAGAATGATGTCATCACAAACACCACAGCTTTAATTTCACAAAAGTATAATGCTGCCATCCTTGCCCCAGCCTTCCCTCTATGAAGGGCTCCCAACCTGATCACATCTTGATTGTCCCTCCCAATTAACTCTCTTCAAATCCCTTGCCTTCTCCTTCCTGTTTGTTAAAACATATCTGGGGGTGTAACAGACAGCCTCTTAAAAGCAAAAGTGTATGTTACAAAGCGCTGGCTTAATCCACTGCAGTAGCTCTCCTTTGAGCTGGAGTTTCAGAGCTGTGCTCTGGGATCCTGCAGTAGTTTGTGTACAGACTGGTGTACCCGTGGGCAGCATAGCCACCCAGTACAGGGGCTGGCATCACTGTTGGTAATGACTGGGCAGCTCTCAGGGGACTGAGTGAAACAGAGCAAGTTCAGACAAGCCAGATCTGGGCAGGTATTTAGCAAATCCTCCATTTCCCTAAGAACCAAAGGTGAGTGTTCCCTTAGAAACTGGAGAGGGTGCATCATTCATGGCTGATCTCTTCTGTCCCCCATATGACAGCAGAAAGGGGACAAAAGCATTAGTTAACCTGTTACCTGTTCTCCTGGTTTGGGCTGGGATAGAGTCAGTTTTCTTCTTAGTAGCTTATGGTGACTCAGGTAAAGCAGCTCCTGTGATGGAAGAACTCCATAATTTAGGATGTTTGTATATTTTACGATGTCCCCCTGGACAAACATTTCCATCTTCTGGAACTGTTTGTTTGCCTTCTGCAATGGAAATGGCTTAATCCATCGCTATTGCCATATGTAGCGATAGCTATCCATGGCCTTAGCTGTCCATGGCCTTAGTAGTCCATAGCCTCAGCCCTGAAAAGCCTAAATCACAGTCTCATTGCATGTGTCAGCAAATAAGCAGTGCATCAACTGGCAGCTGAGCCATGGTAGCCTTTATATATTGCAGTGGAGCTTTTTTTCTTCCTAAATAGTTCTCAACTTATAGTTCCATGATCTATGCCTTTCTGCTGTCACTTCATTTCAGGCTCTTTCACTCTGGTTATTGATCAGCTTGGTTCAAAAGGTTATTTCTTGGAGAATCTAATCCTCTCTGATTAATTCAGTCTGTTCAGACTTGTTTTGAACACGTTGGGAATAAAAGAGATGGGAAATCAGAAAACTGCAAATGAGGGGCATGTGGAACAGCTGCCATCTGTTTAGCAGAAGCACACAGCCTTTGGCACAAGGAGTAAGAAAAGGGTCCCTGAGAGAAGAGGGACCAAGGAGCATACAGTCCCTGGTGTGCCAGGAGGGCAGCAGAGATCCCTGGTGTCCAGTGAGGAGGATTGGGGAAAGGAGGAGGAAAATCCACATGAGGGCAGGTATGGAAAGACAATGAGGGAGTCTTTAGGTGAAGCAAGCTCAGCCTGTCGGAGCTTGGAGGCCTGCATATCCTCCGTGTGGGAAGCAAATGGTTGCATCAAGTGATTGAGGACAACTACTAGCATGAGAAACTCACAAAAAGCAAATTATACTGTTTTAGAACCTTCTGTCATGAAAGAATGTAACTGATTCTTTAAACCTGCAGAGACTCAGGAAAAAGTTGTTTGCTGGACAGCTGTACTTGTTTCCAATGAATTACTTCAGAATAAATTTGACCCAGGGTTTTTCCTGCCAGTGAGCCAGTGAAGAGTCTAGTTGAATTTTCTGCTAACATCAGCTTAAATTTAATTATTCATGGACTCCTAACAGTATTTATTAGTTTTGCGTGTTGTAGAGAATTGGTAATGGGCTATGTAGGTCTTTCTCTGCAGTTCATTGGCAGAAGACTCTCATAGGTTGAAGCAAACAATCTTTGCAACTCATCTGACTGTTTTCCAGGGCTTACATTAATTGCTACTCCCTTCTCAGTTATTTGGTGAACCAGTGTCTGCTGCAAAATTTAGGATTGTTATTAGCAACATCAATAGTTAACAAGAAAATAGAAGCATTTTTATCCACAGGTTTCTGCAAGTGTATTCCACCTCACCATCTCCTGTCTCTTTCCTGTGAGGCAGTGTTGTTGCCATAATTGCTGCCAAGAGGATGAGATGGAGCGGGTAGGGCTGTGAGTGCCTCTTTCAGTACCAGTATTAAAGAGCTCAGCCAGCCTGCCAGCCCTTGGAGTGGCAGTAAGGACACCAGTAAGAACACAAAGGAGTGCCTCCAGGTGGGACTGCTCACATTCTCAGTGTTGCCATTCTGGGCAGTATGGATGACTGACTGCAAATTGCTTATTGCCTTAAAGGAGAATGAAAAGGGATTTTGAGGAGGGGAAAAAAAAAAAAAAAAAAAAAAAAGTAGGAGGACATTTCACCAGCTGCTCATATTAAAATAGTGGCTGCCATTAAACTTTTTGCTTTAAACAAAAAGCTCTCAGGTAATAAATGCTTACTTATGCAGTCGGCATAAGAAAAATTAATTGCATTAAATGCAGTAGAGAATACTCCAGAAGAGTTGTTTCACCAAACCATGAAGAATGCCAAGGCTCTAGAGAATAAAAACAACACCTAGGAGGGGCATAACACCTTGAGGACCTGACTACAGAAATGGTTAAATACAAATATCCAATGCACGTATTCAAAAGTTTCTCCATTCCAGATATGCCTTTGTATCATAGATATCTGTCTAGACGAGGCAAAAATAGCTCTGTTTTATTGATCTTCTACTGACATTAATAGACACTTGCTGTCTCAAATGCAAAATAATCATTCAGTATAGAGCATGGGGGATGGCAAAATGCACTCCACAGGCATCCCAGTAAAACCTATAAGCAAAATTTTCTGTTGAAGAAGATGCTGGTGTGATGACTTGAGGGAGGATTATAGGAAAATTTTAATGACTGTTTTGTGGGACTTGGTTTCCCTGCTTGATTTTGTATTGCTCTTTGCTAGAGCACATATAATTAAGTGCTCTGAAGGCTTCGTTAAATGCTCAATTGGGAAACCAAAAACAAAGATACAGACAAAGTAGACATAGATACACAGCTTCAAATGACAGAGACAGGCTGTCAGTAAGGGAGAAGCTGTTTCAATGGCTCTAACGGAATCGTCTTTCAAAGGCCAAAGCTGGGATCAAAGGAGGGCGAGAACCAAAAAGGCCTCAATAAAAAAGAAATTAGCCATTACATAAAGTTTCTGAGGTTAAGTGCAGAAACACAGCAGGCTGAGATCTGCATGCACAGATGGGGATACTGAACAGTGAGCGACACAGGCTGCTGCTCCCATTTTTGCCTTTCATTGTCTGTAGGCTTTTATTTTATATCTGTGAAAAAAAATAAATCGTGTTGCACAGAGACTCTGGCTTGGTCACACTGCAGATACTGTTCTTTTCACAGGTCTTGCAAATGAGTCCTCACGGGTGGTATGGGGGCTGTAGGGCAAATCACAATGTCTGTCCTGAAAGAAGAAACCTCTGGGCTGAATGTGTATTTGGTGGGACCTCAAGGAAAATGAGCACTACAGATGCTAATTGCTACAAAGAGACTTCTGCTTTACATGCCGTCCCACTTGTCTGCCAATCAGTGTCTAACAACAAGCAAGCAAAAGAAAATTTGAAAGATAGATGGAAAATGAAGCCTTTGAAATCACCAGCAGTACAGCTGGTAATAATGCAGTTACAAATGCTTACGGCTGATTACTTGATCAAACATACATTTTGGAAACAGATCTGTGTGTTGGATTTGTACTGGCGGTGGTAATTAATATGTCAGAGAGAAATTTTATTTTGAAGTGGCAAGAGGTACATCTTAGAATAAAATACTGGCTTTGAACTGCTGTTTGCTAGCAGACCTAGAAAAATGTTTGATGATATGCATCTGTTTTGTTTTCTCACCTGCTGTGGGTTCAGGAATGGCCAACACTAGAAGCTGGCTGCCTGCTGCTGCCTCAGCTGCCTTTGCAGTTGGAAGGTGAAACTTCTGAGCATGGTCCTTGAAGTCTTTAAATGACATTTGTGGTAGGAGTATGGCATTCCAAGTAAAGCTTTTATGGTAGTGAAACATGACTATTAATATATTTGTTCAGTTGCAGTAAACATAACAGTAACACTGAAAGAACCCAGCTTCTGACGGAATGCTTCAATAACGTAACATGAGTATTGACAATGCCAAGGTCATTGTTTGGTTTGGAGCCACACTAATTACCGTAAAGTTTTAAAATACGATATGTTATGGGTCCTCTATCTGTCAGGCCATTTAGAGAGGGGTGATTTGTCAAGAGCTATTCTTTGGGCTTTATGCTTTCATGGCATTGGCACTGCCATAGCTCTGGAATGGAACAATCTCTCCCAGCTGTTTCATTTTTCACAGAGGGGTTATTAAATTTTCTAAACCAGCTGATACACCTAGGCAGTACTCAAGCGTATTAAACTGTTACATATTTCTCTTACAAATGCACAGTAGCCATTTTCCAACCAGTAGCAGAGTGGCAGTGCAAGTCAGGATGGTGTGGTGACTGGAAGACAGGAGCAACGTGCTCATTGACAGGAGATTGGGAGACAAGTGCAAGCTGTGGCTCTGCTGGCTGGCACTGCGTTGTGGTAGGGTGGGTGCCACATTCTGTGTTCCTGTGTGTTGGCAGGTGTGCCAAACCTCTGAACCAGGACACGTTCATTTGGGAAAAGCAATTCAGAAATCATTCTTGAGCTTTAAATACAGGAATGCCATTTTCTTGCCCTGCAGAAGTGCTACTACAATGTAAATGTCTAAAGAGGACTAGATTTTTTCATTTATTTTTTAACAAGTCTGTTCCTGGATTCCTGGTTTGAGACATCTTATCGGGAGTTCAACTATTCCTAAAAATCAGACACCTTAAGGTGTTCCAAAGCTCTGTACTTACTGGGATTTACTGTAGGAAAAAAAAAAAAAAAAAAAAAAAAAGGCAGAAGATTGATGATTGCACAGAGCCTAGGTATAAAGGTGCATGAAAATGTACGGAGAGGAGACTGCTGCTGACCACATTGTGACAGCTACACAGCCTGCACTGTCAGCTCCATAGGCATCATGTGGGGCCTGACAGGATTTCAAAGAGCCTGGTGCACTCAGACCTAACTGCAAGTGGCAAGCCACAAGGGACAGAAGCCAGCCACAAAATGAGTTCACTTCTTCCTCAGCCCACTGACTGGGTTACCCAGCCAAGAGTGGAGTCTGGATTGACACGTACGTACATGTGTCGTCACAGAAATGGTATGTGAATGGCAGAGGGACGGGGACCTTGATTTCATCATTTGTTCCTTCAGCCTGAAGTGCTGAGTAGAAGAAACATTGCTGCATCTCCTCAAACCCTGCCGGGCAATCGCAGGAGCCATTGCTGCTGGCTGGAGCTTGAGTCAGGCAGTCTGCTCTGCCTTGGGCTCGATCCTGTTACAGGCGTTTTCCCTAATGCTAACATGGATCAAACCTAGGTTAGCCTGTCTCAGCTTGGGAAGTATTGCTCCAGTAATTAGAAATTACCTAAAATAACAAGGTGCTGCGATCCCTAGCTAGAAACATCAGTCAGCAAGGAGGCAAGCTGCAGCTGCCACAGGCCTCGGCCTGCCACGGCCGGGGACGCAGGCTGGAGTCGCCTCTTTCGTCCGAGCAGCTCCCAGGTGAGTGCACCCACAGCAGCTCATCCTTTCCCCGTCCCATCAAGGTCTTCATCATGACCTACACGTGAATGTGAAGTTGTGATTTTTTGGGCTATTCTACCCGCTGTGTGCTGCTGTCTCCACCTGAAATGTCTGACTTGTTTCTGGTCGTTAAGGTGCTAGCCTCTCACGTCCCTTCAGCATGCAAGGGGCTGGGCTGGGCAGAGCAGTGTTTTATTTCAGAGTTCTCATCTTCAATTCTTTTTTCAGCCTCGCAGGTTGGGCAGAAGCCTTCTGTGGAGGTGATCACCTGTCAGACTAGGGCAATCATCAGCACTGTCTGGAAGGAGAGGGAGACCGGATCCACTGCTGAAGCAGGTAGGCTTAATGACGCTGCATTTTAGCACCTCAGCACTAGGTTATCTTCGTACTCTGGCCCCGCTCCAGCACTGGGGTAACAGGCTCAGTGACAGCCTGGCTGTGCAGTGACATGGCTGAGGACAGAGGACAGGGCAAGGGAATCAGGGTTGCTGCACATATGGCTGCTGCCTCCACAGTGTGTGCACGAGCTGCCAGCATTGCTGCTATGGCAGGAGGGCTGCAAGAGGGCACCGAGCAGCACTGGGGGCTCCAGTGTCTCGCTGCTTCAGGGGCAGTGCGTGCATAGTGACCCTGTACAATAAGAGAGGAGAGGAAAAGGGGAGTCAAAGCAAGCCAGGAAGAATAGCCCTGGTTTAATAAGCTTTTGAAATATTCCTACACAGAAAAAATATTTAGGGAAATCTGTGGATTATTGTTGCTATTAATTCTTTATTGTGGGGTTGTTTTTTTCTTTTTCCTTTTGCTGGTTGAATTTGGCATAATTTGTATTCATAAATTAATTATTGCATTTAATTTGATTGGTTAGAGAACAGTCCAAACTATACTCTTAGGCTTTGCATGTTCTTATTAAATATATTTGATATATTTAATATAACTGTGTCTGAATTTCCTTTGTACTACAGAAGAAGTAAGTATCCCAAATCATCTTTAATGGAATGAAGCGATTGGTTGCACCTTCTTACAGAGTTTTTAACAGGAAAATTTATATCAGTATTGTATTTTTTTTTTAGCTTAAATTTCCAGATCTGTCAGATTCTTGAAGTTGTATACCTGCCCACTTGTCCCTGTCTTTGAATAACTTTGAACAACTGCTTCTATTAACCAGGTTTTCCCTAACTGAAGGGCTAACCGACAGAGCTCTTAAAAAAATACCTTTTTCCAGTTTCATTAAATCAGGTGGCAAGCTAGCAGAGAGGGGCCATGTAATTGCCTCCACTGGGAAAAAAAAGTCTCGAAAGAAAAAAAAAAGAAAGAAGAAAAAAAAAAAAAGCATTGCAGGTAGATGAACATCTTGGGTACCAAAAGCAGTTAATCAATAACACATTGCAGAATCCCAGAAAGGTTTTGTTATAGTGCCTGAACTATTTACGTTATATGGATATCAGTGGGGAAAAAAATAAAAATCTGTGAAGCATCAATTGTTTATAAGCTTTAATGCAGTAGTAGTTAAAGTATGAGAAAATGGTAAAAACCTAAATAAACAAGATTTCTCCAGGCTTTCAGAAATCCTAGGTGTTTTTCAGATTTAATGGAACATACAGGCAACCCTACAACCCTACAACTGCTGCACTACCCACCTCACCCTCCTCTCTGCCCAGATGGGCAGGTGGAAGGACGAATCTGAACCTCTCTGAAATTGTTCCAGTATTTTCTGGGTTATTACAGTCCTTTAACCAGAGAATCTTGCTCAGAACACTCAATATATCTGTGGAAAATGCTGAGTAGCCAGCCAATGAATTCAGTCAAATACCAAGGTTGCAGCAGCACATACATACTAATGCCTTTCTGCACTATCCCAGTATGCTGCCTGATAGTTTTGCTGAGACTTTTTGAACGTGTATTACTAACGAAAATTGAAACTAGGTTGGTTTTAGTTTGGGGTCTTTAGTTTGCTTGCTGGTGATGGTTTGGTTTTGGTTTTGTTTTAGGGAAAGCTTCCTGAAGTGATTTGCCAAGGGGAATTAATTTTAGGAAATGCACGTTTTATTGCAAATGGTCCTGCAGCAAGACAGGCTTGATTTTTTGTTTCAAAGGCTCTTCTGTGGATGTTGTAGGGGCTCAACAGGGGAGCCTCTGCCTGAAAAGGGAAGCTCATAAATTCATTTGCAAGATGCTAACAAACAAGAATGCCTTTGTTCAGACTGCGCTGCAAAACACATATAGTTCAGGCTGTTGTTGCAAACGCAGAGACTTTCCACTAGATGGCTCTCTACATCAAGCACTGACTACAGCTTCTAAACTGCAGTTTCTTGGCTTTGAATTTCAAATTAAGCTTTGTCAACAAGAGGTCCGAGGAGATCCAAACTTTCCGTCCCGTGACTCGTATAGGCCAAACTCCAGCCCTCCCCATTCCTGAAACTGGGCGGCCCTATTCCTACAGCCCTATACCTACATTAAAATACCCTGTGTTTTTTACTGTCAACCTATACTCAGAATATGTATTCTTAAAATCCTGCCAGTTATATATGGGAGCTATCAACAGAGTTATAAATATAAGTGGCTTTTAATTGTTCTTGTTATCCACATAAAACAAATTGGGATCTGGGAATTCAGGTGGTGAGGTTGTGTGTGTTCATGAGCACAAAGAAAGCATTGGTGTCACAGTCTTGTTATTTGCCATGCAGCACCCATCTGCTTACCATTTTTACATCTGACAAGGTTTTCTAAGGGAAAAAAAAAAAAAAAGAAAAAGAAAAAGAAAAAGAAAAAGAAACACTAAACTTTCAGAGGATGTAAACTGACATTATTCACATTTATAGAGTTGGATTATTCAACCTCGGCTTTGGTTGAGAAATACTGAGAGTTCCACTCTGATAATCTGCCCATGACAAATCAACAGGAGGCTATTTTTGGAGGTCTCTTTCTTGGAGTGGGGCAGAGAATACTTCCTTATATTTGTTGCTCCAGGTCACAGCTGTTTGTCCAAACAACGCCTTCCTGTGTTTCTTACATTTTACCGCTGCTGCCTACTGTTAAATTGCAGGATGCTTGACACAAGTCTCATCTTCCTGCCATGAGCTCCATGTAGGTAAACTCCTTGTACACACAGCTCTTTCCAGTGCTGCTTATTCCCAGAGGACGGCTCACACACTGCAGTGCTACACAGCCCCTCCAGAGCTTTATATATGGGCCTGGGGGATGTGTAGCAGAGACTGTCCAATTCGGCTGCTTTGCAGGTGGTTACAAAGGGAGTTTCACCAAAGAGCTGATCAGAAGTTAATGCAAAACATCACTGGTGCTAACTTGATGTTGTATGCACAAATTGCAACTCACAGCACCTGCAGAAACCACACACCAATTTAAGAGATGGAAACAGGCCTGATGAAGAGCATGAGACTGAGGGTAAGGTGTTGCTGAGGCTGGGTGTATTTTAGGTTGGTGGTAAGGAAGGGGTTGGAGATTAGGTTTATGTGTTGCAGACTGCAGTAAAAAGATGGAATGGAAGAATTTTGTATCCTTCCCCGGTGCAGAGCAAATAGCCCGTTGCAGAGCTGGGAGCTATTGCTGTCCTCTCAGTCACTGCAGCTAACAGGGGTACTCCAGCTAAGCAGGTTAGGAAATGTCTGGACTGAAACAAAAGCAAACATCTTCCTTCTCATGTTGTGACATTTGGACTTTGGGTCTTAGACTGATGCAAAATCTGAAATAGGCTCAGTACAATTTGGAATGGGTTGTGTGGCTGGAAAAGGGCAAACAGTGGTACTAATAACTGATGCTGGAATAAGTAAATAAGTCACAAACTGAGTATGTGTAGGAGGCATTCACCAAGCAACGCACAGAGGGATTAAAAAGTTGAAACTAAATGATTATGACTATCAAAAAAAAAATGAATTTTTAAACATACTTTTGTGAGTAGGCAAGAACTGGTATATTCACTGGAAAGGAAGTGCAGCAGATTAACAAGAATGCAGCTGAATATTGCTGTGGGCCCTGGTGAATTCTCTTTGTTTTGCCCTACTGCCTTCAAGGGACTGGAATTGGTTTCTCTTGCTGAGAAGGGTGATGTTGCTAAATGGTATTAGGATAACTTAAGGAGAAATCAGAGCAGGTAAGTCTTGACAAGGCATCCTGCTCTCATTAATTAAAATAAAGTCCTACCATGCTGCCAAGGGGAACAGTAAAAGCACAGACGGGCAGATTTGATTGCTTGCTGTGGAGTTAGTGCAGAGGTCTTCAACAGACAAAGGGACAGTCTGAACAACCTCAAAGCTGGAACCAGCATCCAAGGAGAGATGTAGACATGTGGACTGCAGAAAAGACAACTCTAAAAGGGTCACCAGCAGTGTGTATTTGTGAAGGAAAAGGCAAGCTTTAGTGTGAACCCAACTGCTTCGCAGTTATGGGAGTAGAGTCTGGGAAAAAGGGTGCTTATACATGGTCATGGATCATCACGGTAAGTTGGCCTAGTAATTAACTTCATGCTGTAGCAGAGCCAGGCCCAGGCCAAAGCAGAGTAACAAAAGATCATCCTGAGCCAAATTGTTCCTAGTCCAAGCCAGGCTGGCCCGCCCTTTTCAGCAGTACAAGGCAGAGGTAGTCAGAGGCACACCCCCAAACAGCCTTGTGAGTTGTGGAGTTACCACTCACAACTCTCCTGGGCTCTGGTAGCAAGAACCTGTCTGCCCTAACCCAGAAGGAGAAAATGCACGTCACAGGCTGAGGCTCCAGTGGTTCTTCTGCACTGCTTGCAGCAACCACAATCCTCTAAGGTCGAGTCCTCGCAAGAGATCATAGTGCAGAAATGTCAGTGGATCAGATGAAAGCACTGACCATACTTGCTCGGCCAGAGAGCCCCGTCGTCAGCTCTCCTCCTCTGCTGTGCATCCTCTCACACGGGCTTAATTCCTATGTGGGTTTCAGAAGCACAGTACATCTGCTGACTGCATTTGTTGGTGTCTTCAGTGGAACTCCACGGAGATGCAGGAGGCCTGAGCTGATCAGCTTCTAGGTCTGGGTTTGTACACAAGAGCCCTGACCTTCCTTCCCCCTTCTCCCACACCCAGAAAAGAAAAGCTCAGCGTAGGCTTGATGTTTCACTGGGAAGAGGAAAACGTTACACAGAGGCAGAAGGAAGTTCCAGAGTAAATGAAAATGGAGAAAAAATCCAGATTAGGAGAAGTCCTGAGAAAAATACAGTGCATGAGCGTAGGAACATGTTTCTTCCCACCTTGAACAGACTAGATGCTGCCTAACTTCAGACCAAGATCTCTGTCGGGTTAGAGATCTTCCTGTGCCTAAACAAAGCAGGCTGCTTGTTCCTAGGCTACTGTGTTATCTCAACACAAATAAAGTAACAGTAGTTAGGAGCTGGTTTTGCTGGGCCTCTGGCTGGAAATCAGTCCTGGTTATGCACAGATTGTCAGAGCTGCTGGTCATTTACAGCACGCTAAAACCAGAAAAGGACAGTGTAAAGGGTGGGCAGGAGGAACTGGCCCTCCCTCCGTTCATTTACAACCACAAGTCCATTTTTCTAGTTCTGTGTCACTGCAGACACGCCGTAAGACTCCGAGGACCCTGTCTGGAGCCTGGCAAACAGGGAGCTGTCCTGTTGCAGCTGCTCACGCAGAGGCTGAAAGGCTCTGCTCGGTGGGGGAAAGGCACGGGGCTGGTGTTTGCCGAGGGCTGCTCACGAGACAGGGCGCTCTCTATTCTGGGAACAGGAAGGGTGGGCCTGGGAATGTTGCCAGTAAACAACTTGAGGGCCTCTACTTTCCTCTGGCCTGTTCTTACTCTCTCACTTTGTGGCCGAGGTCACCGCTGCCGCAATGTTTTTAGCAGATGTCAAGATGAGGCGCTTGCTGGGAAACCGACTGCAGACCTCACAACGGGCAGCCCTGCCGTCAGCCCAAGCAAACAGCACGAGTTCAAGAACATTTGGTTGGTGTGGAAACCCTGTGTGCTACTGCCTGTGCCAATCTGAAGCTCCCGGTGCCAAGGGGCTGCCCCTTAGGCCGACTGCTCAGCCCCAGGGGCTGCCAGCAGCAGAAGCAGCCATAGGTGTGTGTTGGCTGTGACTAGAAGGGGGGCACGGAGACACGTATCAGAAACTGGCTCACAGAGGGCATTCGCAGGAGCTGAAGCAGTTCACAGATCCACAGCCTGAGAGGTCAGGTAGCTGAAGTGAAAAGCGGTGTTGAAGCGATAGTGAAAACGAGATGTGCAATCTCTAGCAGACAGGAGAGGGAAATAAGCAGTAAGCAGGGAGATGTCGCAGCTCAGAGCTCTCAGCCGAAGGAGTTAGCATGATACTTGGCAGGAAGAGAAGAGACCCGAGAGGGAAAGGGCTGGTACTGAGGTGACCATTCAAACATCGATGGTGGCAGTGCTCCCAGAACAGCAGCTGCACCAGGGGATGCCCCTGAACTGCCCCAGACATCACGGGGGAGCTTCAGCTGGAGGACCAGTGTGGCTCTGAACTGGTTCAACTCGCAGCTCATTAAAATGGTGCACGTTTGTATCTAGGTTGGTAATTCATTTGTTTTCGCCCTGTATACATCATCCTGCAGCTCCTGTGATCTTGTACAACAGTTTTGTACACCTTGCATCGTTCGTTGCTGTCTGTTGTGCTGGGCTGGCACTCAGCTCTTTTCTTTGGAGCGAGAAACTGCTGCTCCATGGGAGGAAAAAGCAGCCCAACTACAGGAGCATAGGAATTCCCAGGAAAATGTCAAGAATGGGTTAGAAAAGTTGTTTGTTTTCTAGTTGCCCCCTGTAGCTATAAATATCAAGAACTCTTACAAGATGAGCATTTGCCAGTGGATAGCTGAGCTGTGCCTGAGCTCCCAGGAGGTATTTTGGAGTTGGTGGCCATGCCAGTAGGTTGCAAGCACAGAGAGATTGGAAAGGCAGTAAGATATATCAGCACCCAGCAAGAACTCAGCAGATGAAATTATAATTCCTGGATCTGCTGCTGCTTGTCAGTATGATTCGTGTTAAATTGCTGAAAATGCCTCTGGCCTCAGTTCTTCATCAGGTAGCATTGCACCGTTGTTCACGGGGCCTTTGCTGGCTCTTGGTGCTGCTAAACACAGCAAAGGGAAAAAGGGCATGTTTTCCCTGGTGCTCCTCATGCACACACTTTAATGAGCTGGAACTTGGATGGAGATTAAAGAAACAAATAACTAAACTGGAAATGAACTTGATCACGTTTAGAGGAGATCTGAGCTTGTGGGCTGCCTTCAGCAATGTTCTCTCCAAGCCTCCGTTTCTGCCTGCGGTGGGTGCAGCCCCGCCATCTGGGCAAGAAGTTCGGGGCACACAGCAGGCGACTGCCCCCTGCCTCGAGCCTCTGGTGGTGCCCAGAAGAGTCAGTCTGGTGTGGACTGATGTAGCCCAAACATTGGTATTTTCTCTAACAAACAAAATCTTGGTTTTCTTTATGGACCTGGAGCACATGTCCAGCTGGCCTCCTCCCTCCCTAATGCCGCTTCCCTGCAGAGCTCTGAATCTCCCATGTGAGGTGAGGACAACACATTGCTGTGGGAAGGAGCAGGAGCAGTTCAAAGCCGCTGTGACGAGGACAAGGCAGAGCGAGGCCTCATGGAGAGAAATTTAATTTCAAGCACCTGTGCTAGATAAGTAACAAAAGAACTGCTGGGAAGGGATGACAGAGCTTGTGAATGGCGCTGTGTATGTGACCCACGGCAACCCCCCCACTCGGCTAATAAGAGATGGTGCCTCTCACTGGGCACATGCTGGCAGTTAATCTCCCTGCCATATGGTGGCCGTGCCTGGCACCTGCTTCTTCCGTGTGAGATAAGGTCAGCGTCTCCCTGCGGGCACAGGTATTTCAGAGAATCAATGTCGCTTCAGCATCTCTGACAGCCGGGAATCGCTGCCACTCCTAGGCGCAGTGCGGGGAGCTGGAAGGGAGCGTCCTGGCCTTGGCACTGAGGCTCCTTCCAGCCCAGGATGGCACCGAGGAGCCTCGTGCTGACCCGTGCCCCGCACAGATTACACCCCTTCATTCACAGTCTGTCATCAAAAGGCACAAATAGGAAGAGATAACAGATGTATTTGCTTTCGCGCTGCTTTTCTCCTCCTTTTTTTTCTGTTTCTACTCCAATTCTACCATGTTTCCTTCCATGTTGCTTCCTGTATTCTCTTCGCCCCCAGCTCGTACAGTGCAGGCAAACGCTGCCTGGCTGGGAGGGAGGAAGCGAGGCAGCCCTCAGCTATGGCTGGGGTCCTCCCAGCTGCTGAATCCCCACCAAAGCTCCTGCCTGTCTGCCTCTATATGCAAACCTGTCTTTTCTACCCTTTTTTCCTTCCATCTCTCTTTGGGTATTTCATTTTATCTTCCACTTTATGCTCTCCAGCCATCTGTCTCCCTTCTCATCAAATCACCCTTAAAGGAAATACCATGTGTGAGACAGAGACAGAAGAATTTAGTTGCCAGCCATAACCAGAAAGCCTGAGATGAAAGAAGCTTGGTGGTCTTAGGAGGTTGGTGGATATAAGTAGCTTCCCTGTTTGAGAAGCTTTCCTTCAGAAGAAGGAATTTTCTCCCTGACTTAGAGGACAGAGAGCCACAAATTCAGACATATATTTCTTGTTCTGCTCATGACTCCATGTGATCTTGAATATGGTGTTTATCTGACAGCCGATAAATCCTTGGGTAAGAGTGCTATGGTATTGTTCTTCACCTAAGGCTTTATTTTTATGCAAGTAACTTCCATTAGTGCCGATGTTGTATGGTGTTGTAAATTATTTTAGAAATATTAGACTGATGAAGGTTCCTCTATTTGAACTAAACTGCTTTAGGAAAGCAGACTGGTATTTTAAACACAGGCCTTATTTAGTAAGGTGTTTCTGCTGTTCTGCAAATGCATTGTTGTAAAGAAGGTAGGCGGGAGAGAAATTTCAATCTCAGAAACAGCCTAGGATGCTTCTCTTGGTCTTCTGTGAATCTGTCCATAAATGACCATGCAGGTGTTATTATAAATCCCTGGTCATATTGCAGCTCATCACATGAAAACACAGTAAAGGATGAATCATACAGATCCTTTCAGTACAAAAGAATCACTGTGGCAGAAGAAGAAAACCCATCTGGGTTTGCTTCTTTTTCTCAGGTTGTACAATTTCTTCACCCTTTAATTGAAATACTGGTCATGTATTCCAAAATCCTGTTCTTCTGACTTCCAGCTTAATTCTCTATATTACACCTGAAAGGCAAGTTTGGTACAAAATCTGCCTTGGCTTTGTGATCACGATGGCCTGATGGTATTTGGAATTAGAAAAAGTGATTGAGGGATTTCATGTTGAGCCTTCCCCGTCTCTCAGTGCCCTCTCTTTTCTTTGGGAAAATCAGTTTTCATTTGACCTTTAAAATCATTGCAATCTGAGTTTTGTTTTCTCACCCATTTCTTTACTTCTTTAACTTTAATATTTGATATACCTGATTTGTGAACTTTGTCCATTTACAAGAGCAATGCGTGTGCTTCTTATCTACAGCAAATAACAGGCAAGACACTGAACAGATTTCAATAATTCTGGAGCCAAGTGGAGACAGATAGCTGAAACATGAAGATACCTGGAAATAAGACGAGGACAGTCAAGCTGTACTTCTCCAACTGGGGCTCCCAACCCTGAAGACTTGCAGAAAAGCTTACAGGGAATCTTGAAGGTTTAGAAAAAAATTGTATTTTAACTGACTTCCTATTAAAAGGAGAATAAAATGAAAAAGCTAGACCAGAAAACAGTATAGGTAAACTGTTCTGATTACTTGTTTTTCACTGGCAGTCATTTCCCCATCGTGAGAATATGGATATAGACAGGAAGGAATTACAGCTGGTTCTCCCTGCCCTGTGGGGAGAGCTGTCCTGCTCATAGGCACTCAGCTGTTCACAGCTGGGAGAGCTTCACCGGCAGGTAAGCCTTCTGGACCTCAATAAGCCCAGTTGAAAAAAGAAATTGAAGAAAATTGAAGAAACTGCAATAGCATGTGAATGCTCCTGAGATCAAAATTCTGTTACTAAACCTGGCTGGAAATACCACCACGGAACAATAACCCTTCTCTTGTGTGGTTCTTCCCGGATAATGTCATGGCAGCAGTGTGGTTTCCGACCTGTTGAATTGGTTACACTAATCTCTTCGTGAAACAGGAGGCTTACCTGTGTGCACACAGTTAAATCCATAGCAACTACTGTAAGAGGTAATATTTCTGACCTTTCTTTTTTTCGATTTAGCAATATCTGTTTATAGTCAGTACCAAGCCATAATAAAGTACAGCCTTTGCTGGATTGGTAGTGCTCAGTCTGGCTGAATGTGTGCTTTCTTAGATCCCCAAACTCAACAGATAAGATAGCTAAGCTTTCACTGAGATGTTGGTTGAAGCAGAAATGAGTAAAGTAATTAACAGTGTACTATTCAGTTTTAAAATCGATAAACTGTAAAATAAGACCCAGAAGAAAGATTGCTAATACTATAGGTCTGGATCAGCAAGATATGTAAAAAGTGAATCCATCTAACATAAATTCACCAGAGAACATTTAAAAAAATCAATAGAGCATTAAGGCCAGATTTACAGGAAATTGCAGGAGAACCATTCTGGTTGGTACCACAAAACACTGAACGTAATGGCAAGGCAGCTGCCCAAGGTCAATATCCTCTGGAGTGATCTTCAGGTTCACCATCTCCTTGCAAGCAGTCCAGATGTGGAATTCCTCCTAAGCTCAAGAAAATTAAAAGAAACAACAACCAGATATTCTCCAGAGCCACTTATTCTGTCTCTGTTTCAACGTACCAAGGTGCTGATCTTTTGGATTTTTAAGTCTAGCAGAACTGTACTCAACAGTTACAAGACTCACATGGAAATCTGAGGGGAATGGCTTTGGGTGGACATGGCCAGGTCTGATGAGGTTTACTTTGTTTTCCAGTTATTTGTATTTTCCATTTCTGTAAAACTAAAGCCTACCTGCACTCCTAAGGCTTTTACAGGAGCACAACTAAAGTCAAACAAGGGAAGCCTTAGGGCTTACACTACCATCCTTAGGCTGTGGTGGGTAAATAGCTGAGCACGGGATGTGCAAGGCTGTGAACTTGGGATATCTCCTGGGCACTGTGGTGCTCTGCATGAAGGCTAAATGAGAGAACCGAGCATTTCCCACTTGCCATGAGGATCCCTGGGCTCAGAGTGGACCTGCAGCCAGCTACTGCAGAATGATTTGCAAGTTCATACCTTTGCTAACACTTCACATTATATACCTGCTGATGCTTTTTTGGCCATAGATGTGGACTTTTAAAAGTGGTAAAAAATTACTCTTTTGATAAAATTTACACAAATGCCACAGCTGTACCAGAACTAAAGCTCTCTGCATAATCCTGCTGTAATAGGTTGAACTTTAGTTACTGCTCTCCATGGTGGTCAGCTAGGTGGTTCAGGGGAAGGTTTGCTGGAGTTTCCACTTTTGCTTTGTACTTTTTGGTAGCAAGGATGTCAGTGTTTGTTGCTCTCCCAGATATAGCCAGCTTTTCCATGATAACTACCTCTTCTACACAAGAGGAAGGAATAACTCTGCTATAAGGAGGTTGTTTTCAGGCCTCAGGAGAAAAACTGTTAGATTAAAACCACAGTAATTATTTGTTAGCAGGAAAACTGTATGCAAACAAAAAGTCCTTGAGGTATATATTTGCTGAACCTACACTGCTGTGTAACATCAGTCTGCAAAATACTTGACTGCATTAATCCTGTAAATGCCAACAGATCATATGTTGTATTTGCATTTATTTTTACCATCACCGAAAAGTGTTCAGCTGAGATGCCAATGAGATTTTTTGTTTGTTCACATTTAATTCTGACCAGCTGGTGGAAAATACAGGTGTGATTTTACACAGAAACAAGGCAGTCTGCTCAGTAATACGACATCCTGGGAATGTTGGGAGGCAGAGGAGACTTCCACTGTTAATAGAGGTCTGAAATTATAGCCAGAGGCGATACACACACACTTGAGTTTTCTTTACTTCCTTTCCATTTGGCAAGAGTAGTATAATTCAACAGTTAGGATTTTGGGGTGCAGTGACTTGATATAGGACATGATCCTGAGGCCAAATGTATAATTGCATCATTATTGTTCCCATACTTTCCAGTGGATGCAGGACTGAGAAAGAAAAAATAGTCACTTTCTGTTTTGCCTTCCCAGGCACCATAGCAACTGAAAGGCAACTCTTAAAACAACCATTGTTTTTTCTTCCTATCCCTTTGTTCCATATGGTGCCACCCATCAAACTGTACTGACACGCAGATCCATGGATGCCAATTATCGGTGTGTAGGAGATGCATTGTACACAGGGTTTGATGACTGATGCTGAATTTCATAAGCTGTCTGCTTTGATACTTGGCATGCCCTGAGACAGTATGTCCATGGCACAGCATGTCTTTCTCTGAGGTGAGACTATGCACTGTCACCCATGGACAGAGCCATGCTGATTACTGTATGCTGGCGAAGTGTTCAAGCATGCTGGGGGCTCTGGGGAAATAATCGTTCTGTGTTGGTTGACAGGAGAAGGAAAGTCATAGTTAAAACAATAGTTAGACTTGGCCATGCAGGTGAACGTGGGAGATTCTGGTGGACATGTCAAGACTTCCAAAACAGTTGTCTGAACTTAGACAGTTTTATTTTAGGCACCTAAATGAATAATGTAACTTACTATTTCACTATTTTGACTATAGTATTAGACGCTTGGCTTGCGTGCACGCTAGTTTTCAAATACTGGGAGTAATCCTTTGATGTTTGATGTTACTTAAAAAGCTTCTGGATACCCTTGCACCCCTGGTGAGAAGAGCACCTAGAGCTGGGAGGTGACAAATCTCTTGTCTGTGTTGCTTGTGTTCTGTGTAAACAGCAAAGTACCGTGATGTCGTAGCAGCAATGTGCGGCTGTGTGCGGTGCTCACCCAGAGGTAAGTGACTGCAGTAAACAGTAAGTGTCAAGACACAAGAGTTGTAACAAATTTACTCTTATTCTTTTTTCAAGAATAGTTCCTTTGCCCAAACCACAGCTTGGTCTTTCATAGCCTACTATGGATGCTTTTTTATGACTACTTAAAATCCACCAGTGTTTTTTCTGTATAACACATAATACCAACATACACATACCTTCCTTTCTGTGTTCTCCACAACATGCAAGCAATGTTGCTTACTTCGCATCACACAAGATGATGAACAATTGTGTTAATACAGTCTTTTTTGACTAGGTAAGACTGAAACATTAGCCAATGTGGAGCCTATGAAAAAAAATCAACTTTTCTTCTGAACAGACCACTCCTGGAAGAATATGAAGAGTTCCTTCTCCACAACAGAGAATCTTCCCATTCTCTCATTGCATCCCCTGCTCTGACACTGAGGTCTGATGGTCAGAGCAGCGCAGCACAGCACAGCAGCAGTGTGCTTGCCAGCAAGCCAAGAAAAGGTATCCAAATGGACGTTGGAAATGCCAAGTGTGCTGTAGGGTATGTTGGTATGTTACAGGGCATGACATTCAGCCTGGACAATTTACAAATTGACTGTATGGGAAGCAATAGATGAGAATTCAGTATTTGTGTATCATGCATTAATAAAGGCAGGGGAAGGTTTATCGTCTGTAAATAAGATGTTTTGATTCACTGAAGCAAAAATGTTTGTCATCTATAAATAGGATCATTTAATTCACTGGAGCCATTGTGACACAATTTTACAACAGGACTGAAAGCCATTTTTATTGATGACTACAAATCAATTGTGGTGTTTGACACAAATTGGTGCAAAACATCATCTGATCCCGTTTATGACTCTCCTACTTCGGTACACTTGGAATGTTGTTCTGTATCATTTCACATCTGTTTAATCGAGCTAATATTCCATCTGCTTCATTGGAGTGATAATGTGATGAGCTCAAACTCAAATTACTGATAATGAGCAACTTGTTCATTTCTCATCAAAGAGCTAGCTGAGGGACTTGATTTTTTTTTCTAAAGCCCACGAGGCTTCATTCTCTTCTAAACATTAGATTTTGCCGAAAGAAAAGAAAGTCTCCACTTCAGGCAAAAACGTCTTTTGGGACCACAGAATTTGCTTACAAGTTTCAGCTTGTCCTTGAGAAGAGCTGGTCAAATTGGCTAAGGAAAACACTTTGCTTCCAAAGGCATTTGCATCCTCTGCTTCATTTGCCTGTTTAAGGACTCAGCATAGAAGATTTTGCTTTTCTCCAAGTCGGACAATCATCCCCAAATCCTAAGGAAATGAACTTCTTTCTCTGTGGTTCGACGACAAGAATGAATGCAACTGCACACCTCCTCCGGGAGGCCAAGTCCAACAGCTCCTCAAATGTGAGCAAAGCTTCTTTGTACTACTTGCTGGAGGAATGGGCTCTCAACCCACGAGACACAAACATGAAGATGTTTTTAATTCCTCCAGTTGTCTGCCTCGTGGCAGGTGTCCTCATTATTCCTTCCATCTTGTTTGTGATCTTCTCGAGCTTTAGCATCCGAAAGGAAACGAGGTACATGCTGCTGGGGAATGCTTTGCTGTGTGATCTGATATACCTTTTGTTCTACACGCTGTCAGCTGCTCTCAGTGCAGCACATGTAAGTCTCCCAAAGGAAGCCTGTGTTCTCCAGTTATTTCTGCTGGCAGTGGCTTACTGCGGAGGACTGTTCACAGCTGCTGCCATAGTGGTGGACACGTACATAGCAATTTTGTTTCCTTTGCGCTACGTTACTATTTTGCCTTCTTCACGAACAAAAAAACTCATTGTATTTCTGTGGATCTGTTCGGGGGCTCTCCCGGGGATTTTCTTCTTGGTGCTATCCAGCACTCACAACTTTGTGCCCTGCGTCCTGGAAATGTGCTCAATTCCACTAATAATAATATTAACTCTGAGTGGGACTGATGCTGTGAAGCTCTGTTTCTGGCTGTCTGCTATGGTTATCTTTCTCTTCCTGTCTCTGATATTTTGTTGCTATGCTATTCTTTATTTTAAAACCAGGCAATCAGGTATATGGGAGAGCATCTGTTCCAGAGCCAGTGTGACATTCTTAATGCACAACACTGTGTTGTTCTTTTATTTCTCTCCGCTCTTGGTTCTTTTTGTAGAATCATTCTTTTACGTTAACATTGTCATTGGACTGGAGACAGGAATCTGGGTCTCCCTGACAATCTGCAATGTCCTGATGATTCTACCTAAAGTTTTGTTCCCTTTTCTGTATGGACTTCGATACAGAGAGATCTCAGCATCTCTCAAATCCATCGTCAGAAGGAAGCATCTTCACCTGGTATCACCTGCTCCATCACCGTCCTGAGGCAACGCAGAGGACAGCTACAACAGAAGAGTTGTCCTTAACTTGTTTGCATGCAAGCCTGGTGGAAATCACTCAGCTTCTTTTGCAAGATGTGGGCTGATCACTCTGCCTCCTTGGTGCCAGAAGGGCACAAGTCTTTCATCACATCACGGTTGGGATTACAGCAGATGCTGCCCTGGACAAAATTCTGCGCTTTGTTGTGATGTGGGAGGGCAGCGTATTTTGGAGGACATGGTGAGTCAGGATCATTTCTATCCATCCATGGCAGATGTCTTCCTGGAAAATAGAAAATGAAAAATAGATGGTGCAAAGCACATGGGTGTAGGGCAAAGAGGGTAACCGCAGGTCTCTTGACAGAACTGCCTACAGGAGACAGGATTCTTAACCAAACAAACGTACTGTGAGCAGAGCAGCTATTTTTTTCATTCATGGTGTACTTGTGCAAGGTTGGTAGCCACTGTTCTGTTCTGTAACGCGTCATGAGATGCCTCTGGAAACTGCCATACTTAGTGAAACGCTGTGCTTCACCTCGGGCAGTGTGTTAGAGTACTGTCTGCCTTATGGATTCTGTCTGACAATGTGCAAAACACTGTGTTTTTGTAAAATCTCATTTTGATGGGAAGTCATCTTTGATCAGTGTCTGTTGGGCAGCTCAGTGAGGGAAGATGAGCAGGAGCAGCGGGTGGTAAAGGGGCAAGCAGGCAGTGCCTGCCGCGGGGTGCCAGGCTCAGCCCAGAGCCCTGGGTCCCTGCCAGGTCCCTGCCGGGTCCCTGCCAGTGCTGCCAGGTCGCAGACTCTCTCTGCCTTCTCTGTACTTAAAGCAATACCCCAAAAGTGCTGTTTGTGTGTTTAGGGTGTTTCACACTCATCTGAAGAACGGCACTAAGCAGGAGCCAGGAGGAGATCAGTGTCTGTTTGCACAAGATGTTTTTGGCAGTGCAGCCTGTTTGAGAGGTTCCTGCTTCTCTCCCTCATTCCCCTCATTCCCCAGGTGCTGGTTACTCTGCTCACTCCACGGTTTGCTGATCTCCCCAGTCTGCTAATGCAACTGCTCGTGGGGTTGCAGGCTAAAAATATCCCTCCGAAGAGAAGTGGTGTTGTTTTCATCTTAACCAAGATTATCCCAGGGATCTGTTTATTAGCATGTTCTGCAAACATCTGTGTCAGCACAACTGAGGGGGTGACAAATTTCATGTCAGAGGTGAGGCACCTTGGGGGCTTTGCTGTGAAGGGACACTTCTTGTGTAAGAGCATCTTTAAGCTAAAGTTGTTGCAAGTGAAAAAGATACATATTTGTGCATATTTGCTTTAAGCATGGTTCTGTGCTTCCCCTATTTTTACCCAAAGGAACATTAAATTACTGAGTAACTGCTTTGTTTTCCAGGAAAAAATTCTTCATCCTCTTCAATAAAAAATTAGGACCTGACAATTGCTTTTTACTGGCTGCTTTTATTTTTCTCCAAGATGAATGTCCTGTAGACATCTTCCACACAAATTATGTTTGTATAAAGCCTTCAGTTTCAGCCTTGTACAAAGGTCTTCCATACTGTAGTAAGGATGGGGAAAATACCTGTCCAGCAGGTAGGTGCTTTCTGCTGAATTTCTTTAACATGCAGTATGATCAGATACGGAAGATATGCCAGTACCTCCCCAGGCTGCTCGTATTTTGGGGCAAATCTCTACACCTCTGCCTGTTGGCAGAAAGGCCGGTAACTTACAGGATGGTTTCTCCATGGAAGATTCTTTCAAGCTTTATTGCCCAAGGTTTGTCTGTATTGTAAATTGTCGTGCTGAATAGTGAAGAAACCTGTGTAAATGGTGCAAAGGAAGGTGGTTGTACGTACAGCTGTAGCTGACTCTGTATAGCTGCAGGTTAACAGTGCTTGATTTCCTTGCCAGCCTCTGTCAGTTATAAAGTTAACCTGCAGGACAGACTCAGACAAGAATAAAATGCTAGTTCTGTAACTCGTTCTTAATATACATCCCAACAGTGTGTTTTGAGGCAACAAGTTTGGTATCATAAAGACAGACACTGAAAGAAGGAATTGGTGATCATGGCAAGTTTATGTACATAGGAAATTTGTCTACAGTGTTATCATAAGCAAACAAAACAGTTTTGTGGAAATGACCTTAGAAAGATGAATGCAGTCATCTTACACGTGTCCTTGAACTCCTTCCTAGAACAGGTGTTTGCCTAAAAGAGTTTAGTTGAAGTGAAATTAGTTAAGTTGAACTGAATTCTAAAAAAGGCATCCACGTGGAGAGCTGATGCTATTTTATTAACTCATTTTAAGGTGGTTTAACATTAGATAAGCAAAATTTTCCATGTGACTGCTTGTAGATACCTTCTTCCCATAATGTACTCCTGTGCTGTTTGATACAAAAGCAGCACGTACCAGCATGCATATGAGAAACACACCGTATACCTGAATCATTTACCTCTGGGGATTTCCCCTGTGTATCTGAATAGGACCAAAGGTATCACCAGGGCAGTATCACAGGCACGAGGTTCCTATAATTCTTTTCATAAATGTCTTGAGTTTCATCTTAAAAATAGCCAGGCCTCTTCACTTCCCAGAGCTTCAGGGCAGTAGTGATTAGCAGCCTTCTAAGGGTGTCCCCAGATAAGCTCTGGAAATCCAGGTTGAGATTATTTACCACAGCCCAGCTATCAGCCTCTCCAAGGTCACATCAGGAAACTTATTGGATGTCAGGGTGTCTGCCCAGCATTTTAATTTAAAGTGAAATGGAGAGCAGTTGACTCTAACATGTGATTTAGCAGCTGGGGGCAGTAATCCTTTAACAAATTGCTATAGCGTGAGTCATGAAAAGTCTTCCAATTTGTAGCCTAAATGTGTCGCACCCCTGGTCAGTTCTTCCCCTCTTTTCTTGTGCTGACATTGTCACTGAGCTCACCGCATCTATTCCCTCTTTAAGGTGGATTCACAGGGCAGCTGCATTCTGCCTGTAACCTGCAGAACAGAGGGAGTCTGACCTGTGTTCCCAGGAGCTGGCTCTGTGCCTTGCAGCGCTGGAAAAATCACTAATTCTGTGCTTAGATCTGCGCCCCAAATTAGAGCAGTTTCAGTGTCAGGAGAAACAGAGTCCCCAGGCAGGTAAATGATCGTACAGCTTAGGATTTAGATTTCCCTTCATTTGCTACGATTTCAGTAATTATTCAGTAAAACTGATTAGCCTCCTGCAGTTTTAGTAATTGATATCACAGTGCCTACTCCTGCTCCATCAGTTTACCCTGGCATTTTCAAAGGGAACTTTGGTACAGCAGGAGGTCAGAAGGGAACCAGCAATTGCCTGGTTGCACTGGAGGGAGCCCTGAGAAGCCAGTGCTGCCTTTCAGCAGCTGCCCTGAGACGGGTCCCACTCAGCTCTTGGCCTTGCTCATCACTCTTTTTGTACTCTGAGACACCGTGCACCCTTCAGACAGAAACCGTGCTTGTGGCCATTCCCTGTGGGAGGCGGGTGTGTGTGACAAAGGAGAGAGAACACCTGATAGGAAAAGGAAATGACAAGTTTCCTTGAAACTTGGTCTCTGCTCTGTGCGGTCTCCACCCTCGCCTCACTGCTGGTAGCTGAGGGCACAGCACTGCGAGTTGTTGCCGTTTTTTCACAAGCCTCGTGATGATTTTTGGTGTCTTTATGAAACCACAGATGCTGAGTGTTTTTGTTTTTCAGCATGCTTCTAGTCCTTCCGATTGCAACATAAATCAGCAAGGAACAATATGGACAGAAGGTACCAATCTGAAAGGCAAATAAGACCAACTCTTCATGAACTGCTAATAAAACATCCAAGTTTCCAGGGGAATATCAGGAGCTAGGAGAGGAAAAGGAGCCAAGCTATGGTTCTGTGGTCTGACGGCTGTCAGCGAGGGATGGTCTTGCAAGTGCTTGTCCAAGCTCTGCAGGTTTGTCTGGGGAGCCAGCACAGGTCAGACAAGATGTTTTCTGTCTCTGCTAAGCAGAGCTACGGATTTTGTGTGCTGAAGTTTATTAGGACAACTTTTTCCAACACAGTGGATTGATTTTCTCAAGAAAAAAAAAAAAAAAGGCTGCTGATGTTGCAGGGAGAAAATCAGCAAGCAGCTTCTGAGGGCTACTGGTTTTCAGGATGATTCCCAGTAGGAGGAACTGGTCAGCTTTGATGGCAGCTATCATTAGTTTTGGCACCAGGTAAAGGTAGGGAAGTTCAGATCCACAGGGAGGAAGGGGAGACTCCCCTACCCACCCCCTTTCTGCACACCTGCCAGTAATGCTAGCCAGGTCAAAGCTGGTGCCTTGTTCATGCAAACCTGTTGAAAATAAATAGATTTTAGAGGGCATTTCTTCACGCCCTCTGAAAAGCAGATCTGTCTGGACCTGTGTGGGAGTATGAGAAGTGCTGCACCCTGCAGAACAAGGGCATAAAGGAAGAGAAACAAGTTAAAAATAGCTGAAGATTGAAGGTCTATAGGAAGATTTAAAATACAGAAATGTGGGGATGAGCTGGAATTACAGAACTGAGTTTGGAGGAATGGGGCAAATAGAAGAGACTGGATTTCTAGCGGGTTTTATGGGGGAAGGACACAGTGGAGCCCCCCTGAGGGGCATGCACCTGCCCCACACTCTGTGCCTGTCCTGCACAGCCCCACACAGTTGTGACAGGCTCATCGGTGTGGGTGGGGGCCCCATGGTACCACTGAGCACTCTGGAACTTGTGTGCTGAAATTCAGGAAGGCGCATTTTTATCTCAGAGCAGCATGAGAGAGAGACGATTTTTAATACTGTATAAGGCAAAAGGAGACATTGCAGAGAGGGAGGGAAGCTGGAAGGAGTTGGTGCTCTCTGCTTGAAGAGATTTGTTTTGTGCAGTGCTCTCTGGTTTTGATTTAATGGTGGGTTGGTTCTTTCAAGCAGCTAAGCAGGGGAGGAGGGATGGGAATATGTTCCCAGACTTTGGCCACAAGTGTCCCAGTGTCCCAGGCATGACCTCTTCAGTGTTTATTTTTCTTTCTCTACAACTGACCCAGATGCTGAGACTTGAGACTCCAGCCCTCCTGGCCTCTTCTGGTACAGCATGTGATGGTCCCAGGGATAAGACTGGGTACGGTACCTGGAACTGTTTTTCTTTCCAGCACACTGTTCTGTCCATTTGCATTCCAGGAAGTCAAAACCCACGAGGAAAAGCCTGGGAGAGCACTGCCACCCAGCGGGGACACAAGCAGAGATGTGAGCAGCGCAGGGACACTGCTTTTCCACTCGTGTACCTCGCTAGAGAGAGGAGAAAGCCTTTCAGACAGAAGAGTAAACAGAACAAAGGGGAAGCTAGGTTTTGGTCTGCTTTATTAGAAAACAGCAACAACGAACGTTCTGTGGAACGAGGTTAGCGTTCGTTTATATTTGCAGCCTGCATTGTCTCCTTCCTGGGACTGACAGCAAGGCTTGCAAATTGAGATGGATTTTTTTTTTTTCATCACTCAGAACTGAAAACCTAACAAAGTGTCTTCAAGTGAACAAACAAACAAAACGGTTTTAACTTAAGCTGATGTGCCAGTCACTAAGAAAAAAGCACAGTTTTGGAGGAAACAGCATTGAGTTCTACCAAAGTTACAAACCTTTCATTCCAAAAAGCATCTTCTCTGTTTCACTAGTAGGTGCTGCAAATCCAACTAGTCACAATAAATAGTTCAATAAACTCCAGGGCCAAGCTGAGCCAGTTCAAGCATGTCTCAGGGCAGATATAGCAGGAAAGTAAACTTCCCACCTTCGTATCACATTTCTTTGCCCGATGGGAGGTACTTTATTGGCAGAAGTAAACTACAGCTGGTCCCTTTCTTTTTTCTGGAGGGAAGGAATTAAGATAATTTAAGGATGTACTGTACAGAGGAAATGCAAGGGCTGAGCATATATACAGATATTCCCCAGACGACCCTAGCGGCTGTATTGCCATCCATTGCTACCTACAGCTAAAAAACATCATCATTGCAGTCTGTGCCACCGGGGCACTGAGGTATTGGGTTTCCGTGCAGTTTTCCTGCGGTCAGACAGAAACTGCCCCAGGCACAATCCTACGGATGTGTGTGTAAGACTTCCTGAGGGTAACGCTCCCGTGATGAGACACCCCCCGAGGCAGGACACACTCTTCAGTCAGCTTCTGAGTTTCAGGGTCCCAGCACAGCACTGTCGCAATAACTTCGTTCTTTTCATCTCGGCCCCCGGTGATAAACAGCTTGTTGTTGCAAGGAGAAATCCCACAACTGGCTCTCTCATGGGTGAACTGAGTCACGAGGCACCACGTATCTTCCTGGGGGCTGTACGAGTAGAGTGCTTTCATCGCCCCACCTGGAGAGGAAATGGATATCAGTTTGCGCCAGCCATTCCTGTACGAGATTTTAGCTAAACAACCCACTTCTGCGAGGCTCCATTCCTGACATTTGTAAGAATGATTTAGGGCCCAAAGCTAAGAAAAAACAAGGTCACAGGATACTTTATTGTTTTGACAGCCAGATCCACAGAAGGTCACTTATTGTTCACAAGGCTGTGGAATTTAAGGCCAGGACATGCAGCAGGACCACAGTGCACCCAGCAATGGACCTTTGTCATATCTGCTGTTTCAGCTAAGGACATGACTTCAGAAATAAACAAACTTGTCTAAAAGAGCTCAGATCATGAGGGAGTGTGAGTGGTAAGCTGTCATGATTAGAAATGGATATGTGATTTCTGCACTGACTCCTCTAAAGGCAATGTCCACCTTCCCATTAAACTACCTTCGGCCTGAATCTGGCTGTTTTCAGAAGCCCCTTCCTCTTTTAGGGGTTTATTAAACTGAGTTTGTACACTTCTTATGGGTAAGCTAAACAGAGAGTGACCTTCATTTTCTCCATGTTTTCCAAATCTGCAGTCATTCTTGAAATGTTTTGTACCCCTTTCCCAATTTTACCAGGTCCTTTTCTTTTGGAAAAAAAAAAAAAAAAAAAAAAAAAAAAAAAAAAAAGAAAAGTCAGTGTCTCAGTACCCAAGAAAATCTCTGGATATTTATTTCCTCCTGAGAGTACTAACAGCTAAATGGTTCCTATTCTGAAATTTGCAAAGACTGGGTGAGTTTTCTATATCACCTGTATTGAATAGGGCCAAGGAAACCTAGAAGCCATGGTCTTATTGATGAGTTATTGATGGTACAAAGCCTGGGATCCTACCTGTTGCCAAAGTAAGCGTTTATCTGTTGTATAGTACTAAAAGTTGCTTTGGACAATACTAGTCCCATACTGGAGGGATGGTCCAGCCACTGTGACACACATGCACACTATAGATCCTCCTTCAGCACACCACTTACTATTTGGTGATTCTCCTTCTCTATGCCAGCCCTCAGCACCATATTGATGACACTGTAAGAGACAAAATTTCTGCACCGAGGCTGAGAGAGGGGAAGGGAATTTTTCAGGGCTCAGGTTTTTGAAACAAATGGTCCTCTTCCTTTTGGCAGGCATCATCTGGAGATGTGTACAGGCTCCTTCCTCCCTCCACAGTACAGCTCACCACTGTAATCCTGTCTTTGCTTCCAGTTCTGGTAGCTGACAGAGTTAGCCCTGGCCTAGTGAAGAGGTGGGCATCAGTGGCTTTGCTCCCAAGAAGTGCTCCTAGTACTCATTTCCCTGCATAAATCTCATGTGCATTGGGCTGTGTAATGCTCCTGGGGAGGAGAGGGAGACACAACACAGCCACAAGCTCATGCCCTTGCCTCTACACATCCACCTTTGGATGGCTTTAAGTTGTCTCTGAGCAATCTCCAGCTTTCCAAGATAGCTACCATACTGTCAGGGGGTTTGACTTGGTGATTCCTCACTACTGTTTGTAAATGTACCAGATTCCCATCCTTGGTAGGCTTAGTGGGAGGTCATCTGACCATTTGATTACACTCCATAGAGTTTGTGGGTAAAGCCAACACGCAGAAACAAGCCCTGGTGTGTCCGGACAAGACAGAACATTAATGCTCCACCTACCCACAACATAAATGTGATCACGGAAACTCGCAGCATTGATGCATTTGGCTTCTACTGGCATGGGAGCTTTCAGGCTCCACGTGTTGTTTGCAGGGTCGTAGCACTGAGTCTTGTCCGTTGCCAGCTTCCCGTTGGGTCCGCCCCCGATCACATAGAGCTTCTTCTTGTAGCTCGCTGCTGCAAAGGAGCTTACATTGACCATGAGGGGAGCAGCCTGTGTGACCATAACAAATGATTAGTGGCTGTTTTGATTTCAGGTTGTGAAATTGACACCTATAGGGTGGCAGCCTGATGAATATTAAGTCACACATCCTTTTTAAGGTGATCAGTAGGGTAATGAGAATAACATATATTTAAGAATAAGGGAGAAGTTTGTTTGTTTTTTTTTAAGACCATAAATCCCTTAATAAAAATATGCTGAGTTCAAAAGCTGTTACTATAATTACATTGCCAGCAATTCAAAAGCTAGGAAATGTCAGAATTGCCCCAGATCTCCTTTACATACTTATGTACATCAAAAACAAACAAAAAGAAAACCCAAGAAAGTTGTTCGTAGTGATCTTTGGTCTTTCTGCTTGCAGCTGCGATTGTTAGATTTCTCTGCAGTGCTTTGCATCGTCTGAACACTAGGATTTATCTTCTTTTATGATGCCTAATCTCACTAATTTCATGGATTATTGCCTGTCTAATACTCTGAGCATTTGAAGTAGTTAGAACTATTTTTTCTCCATCCTGTTTACCTTGAAACCTGCACTTTCAACACAAATGTGCAACCCATGGCATATATAATGCACAGGTTGATACATCACTTTTGTATCTTATATATCAGAGGGATACTTTGCAGCCTGTGCTCTGGTTCAAATATACTGTGCTCTTGCTTGGTGCTTGAAAAGCCAACTAAGAAAAGGAAAGTTAGGCATTAGATGTCTCACAATTTGGCAGGTAATCTTATGATTTCTGGTTCGGAAGGATGTCCATTTCTAGAGAGAAAATGGTTAGGGTGCTCACCAGCCAGAAGTGTTTTAAAAGAACAGTACTAGGTCTGTCTTCTTGTTTATTTTTCAGTACCTTAACGTTTTCTGATTCAGGTGTTCCAAGTAAGCCAGAAGTTGTATGATGCAGTCTCTTACCTCTGACCAGCAGTTATGAAATGGATCGTATGCCTCCATGCTGTTGATTCTCTGCAGGCCATCGAACCCTCCAATGGCATACACTTTGCCACCCAACACAGCCATTTTGTGCCTCCACCGCCCAATATTCAGATACTCGATTTGTATCCATTTGTTGATGGAGGCGTTGTATTTCCAGACATCATGCTGTGTTTCTTTGCCACCTGCAGTGTACATGACACCACGACACATGTAAATATGATACTGTAGCTTGCATTTCCTCAAAATCTTCAATATGTTTAAATTTTAATAAGGCTTGCTCATAAAGAAGTCATTGGTCCTTACTGTTAGCTTCTTAAGTTTCCTACACCACTGGCCTGGCCCTGTTACACAAGGAGAAAATTTCTTCATTTATAGTTTACTTGCTAGTGAAGGAAACTCTGAACAATTTCTGCAGCAAATATTCAGGAAATAGAAATCACTGTTCCTCACTTCCGTGCACCACAACCTTTTCTTTGCCACTATGGCGCTTCCATTTTAACACCAAGTGCAATGCCAACCGCACAGGGCATGGTAATATGCAGGAGATCTTTGTGCACTGCAGGGGCTCTGCAGGATGCCGAGAGCTGGCAAATAAGCAAACGTGCTTTAAATGAGATAGTGGCGACTGCTGCAGTCAGGAGTGCCAAATCCCTTGAAGGCAGGCCTGCTCTGGGGAATTGCCAGTTTGTGCCGGGCAGATCTGCCCAGCCAGGCTAGTGCTTTATACAGTAAATGGACAAGACCTGCCTGAACCCCCAGTCCATAGTAGTCCTGCATGAGTGTTAGAAGTTTCCCTAGTCAGCCTTGGGGCCATATGTCCGGGATCTCATTTTCATACCTCTCCTTCTGGTCTCTTTCTCTGCTGACATGGATTAATTTAATACTTGAAGATCAGAAATGGACCCTGTAAATTCATCCTAAAGCTGGCTTGCAAGTAAATCTTTCTCATTCTAAAGCAGAGAGTAATGTTTTAACCAGTACTTTTGGTTACATATCATTTCAGATGTAATTGGAATACAAACAGAACTAGTTAAGCCCAAAACCTCATGCACAGATGAGTAGCTTGCTCTGTCATCAGATTAAACATTTGCTTCACTGATGAATATACTGAAAAGAGAATTCATATTCCATTGAGAAAGTGTCTGCCTTCATTGGTATTCTGTACAGCAGCCAGATCACTGCAAAGTGATGGGCTCATCTCGGGGCCAAATAGCAGATTGAATAGGAGATAATTAGCATGCTAGAAAGAGCCGTTGGTAATGCTTTTGTCTAAGTATTTTTCACATGTATGTGTCGAATTTTATTTGCACTCAAATAGCTCAAGTGGCTGAAGGGCCTGAATGCAGCATTCATGCGTACAATAGGGCTGAGAGGCTGCAGGTGTTCCCCTTACCCCCCCTGAAATCCTCCATTTCCATGAGTTTGTGCTTCCCTGCACAGGCTGAAAGCTCTGGCAGGAGCCTGAGCTGGACCAGGGGGACGAATTTGCTGTACATCAGCGAGCAGGAAGAGATTTTTGAGAATTGGAGATTTATTTTGTTTCTGTTCTTTCTCTAGACCACAGTTCTTTCTAAGTTTAGGAAAAAATGTAGCTACATTAGTGAAAGTAACAGAATGGTGAGGACAGTACCTGGCATTTTTAGTTACACTTCACATGTTTCTATCCATCTAGTCAAACCATTCAAACTGCTCGGGGAAATAGCGATCTAAAAGTAGTAATGCATTGTGCAGAGGACTTTCCTATTGTTCAGAAGCTAAAAGAGCAGGGAAGACTCCAAACAATATACAGAGGGAAATGAGCTTGTGGGAGGGGACATCATGTTAGGAACGATGTAAGTCAAGTTAGAAAAGAACCAAGCCACAGGAGCTAGAAGAAAGCAAGCAGAGTGGAAGGAGGCAGATGTTTAAAAGGGAACGAAGTGTGAATAATTTGGTTTAGCTGGAAGGATACTGCTGAGGACTTTGGCCCACCCTTTATTTGAATGGAAAGGCTGAGAAGCAGGTATAATAAAAGAAAGAGGGGATGGAGGGAGAGAGGGAGGGGGTGAAAGACATGAGGCAATGCAGAGGAGGACAGAGGACCTGTGAGACTGGCAGCAGGAGGAAAGCCAGCTGATACTCACCGCAACGGGGGCTGTGTTAGCCTGGCCTGCAGGTAGCCTGGATAGAACATAAAGGAAAAGCGAAGAGTCACTGGAAAAGATGACAGGAATAGGAGAAAGCAAAAAGCCTGCGACCTTGAGAAAGAGGAAAGGGTAAGAGATTAAAGGCAAATAGAAAAGAGACCTCAGCACTCAAGGGTGTGAAGGTGTGAGGGATGTTCCCTAGTCAGGGTGTTTGACTTAGGTTCCTCTCCAGAGCTAACCTTTAATACAGGGTCTGCCACCAAAGTAAGAAGAAACTCCCTGTGGCTGGCTGAAAGAAAAAAGCTCCTTTATTCGTAAC